TCAAAAGTATTAATAGCTACAGCAGCTTGCTAAGAGAGAGATAATATAAAAATATGTCAATTTAGATAATTAAAAGTCAAAAGGTGGGGGAATAGGATTAAAGTATAGATTTTTGTTTTTATCTTTCTTCTATACTATTGTTTGTAATCTAAGATAAACTGTCATCTCCTTAAAATAACTTACATCTATAAGATGTGTTTTTGCAAGTCTCAAGATAACCACAGGGCAAAAACCAGTAATTCACTAAACACGAAAAGAGATGAATTAAAGCATTCTGCCAGAGAAAAAGTATTTAACCAGAAAGGAAGAAAGTAAGAAGGGAGGCAAGGAAGGAGTTTTGAAATAACCAGCAAACAAGCAACCAAGTGGCAGTAGGCTTTACTTATTAATAGCCTTCAGTGTAAGTCGACTCAGTTCTCGAATTAAATGGCATACAGTGGCTGAATAGATAAACAACAAAGACCCAACTATACGCTGCCTACAGAAAAATAAAAATAAAAAACAAAAAAACTTCACCTAAAAATATACAGTCTGAAAGAGAAGAGATGGAAAAAGAAGAGATGGAACAAGACGTTACATATAATTGGAAACCAAGAAAGAGCAGGAGTGGCCGTACTTATATGAGATAAAATAGCCTATAAATCAAAGATTGTAAAACACACACACACACACACACACACAACAGATCACTATATAATGATAAAGAAGTCATTTCAGCAAGAAAAAAATATAACAATTACAAATATCTGTGCACCGAACACTGGACCACCCAAGTATATACAGCAAACATTAATAGATCTAAAGGGAGAGATAGATTGTAATACAATAATGGGGGACTTTATCACCCCATCCTCAAAAATGAAGAGATCATTTAGAGAGAAAATCAAAAAGGAAATAATGGAGATAAACTATACACTGATAGGCCTAACTAACATTTACAGAACATTTCACCCAACTGCTACAAAATAACATTCTTTTTTGTCATTAACTCATGGAACATTCACCATAATAAACCATATCTTAAGTCAAAAAACAGGTCCCAACCAGTTCAAAATATAGAAACAGCCAAACATGATAGCTTGCGCCTATAGTTCTAGTTACTTAGGAGGCTAAAAAAATACCTAGAAGTCAATTTAACCAAAATGTGAAAGATCTATATAAGGAAAATGATAAAACACTGATAAAAGAAATTAAAGAGTACATGCAAAAAAATGGAAGGAAATTCCATGCTCATAGATTGGAAGAATAACATTGTTAAAATGTCAATACTATTCAAAGCAATTTACAGATTCAGTGCAATCCTTATCAAAAAAAAGAATGAAATTCTTCACATAAATGGAAAAAAAAAAAAAAAAAAACAAAAACTTACCTGGAAACACAAAGGACCCTACTAGCCAAAACAATCCTGAACAAAAAGGACAAAGCTAGAGGCTTCACATTATCTCATTTCAAAATTTATGACAAAGCTATAGTACCAAAACAGCAGTGTGTGGGCATAGACCATGTAACATGTACAGGACAGACACATAGAGCAATGGACCAGAACAGAGAATCCAGATGTAAATCCATATATTTATAGCCAACCTATTTTTGACAAAGTCTCCAAGAACACCATAGGGGAGGATAGTCTCTTCAATAAAGGGTGCTGGGAAAACTGTGTAACCCAACGTAGAAGAATGAAACTAGGCCCCGAATTCCTACCATACAAAAAAATCAAATCAAAATAAATTAAAGACTTAAATCTAAGACCTAAAACTTTGAAACTACTAGAAGAAGACATTGAGGCAATGCCCCAGGACAATGATACAGAAAAAAAAAAAAAATCCTGTGTGTAAGACCTCAAAAGCATAGGCAATCAAAGCAAAAATAGATAAATGGGATTACATCAAGCTAAATTTCCTCTGCACAGCAAAGGAAACAATCACTATAGTGAAGAGATAACTCATAAAATGGGAGGAAATTATTTACAAGCTCTCCATCTGAGAAGAGATTAATAACCAGAATTACATAAGAAGCTCAAACAACTCAATAGCAAAAAATATCTGATTTAAAAATGAACAAAAGATCTCAATAGACTTTTCTCAAAAGAAGACATACAAATGCCTAACAGGGACATGAAAAAATGCTCATTACTAAGAATCAGAAAAATTAAAATCAAAACTACAATGAGTTATCATCTCACACCAGTTAAAATGGCTTTTTAACAACAAGACAGGTAATAACATGCTGGTGAGGATGTGAAGACAGGGGAATCCTCATATTCTCTTACTGGAAATATAAATTAGTACAGCCATTACGGATATACAGGACGGAGCTTCCTCAAGCAACTAAAAATAGAACTACCATATGTTCTATCAGTTCCACTGAATATATAGTCAAGAGAAAGAAAATCAATACATTGAAAAAGATCTGCACTTCCACGTTTATTACAACACTATTCACAAGAGCCAAAATATGAAATCAACCTAAGTGCCCATCAATGAATGAATAGATAAAGAAAATTTAGTACACAATGGGATGTTATTCAGCCAAAACAATGAAGTCTTGTCATTTACAGCAGCATGGATGGATTTGCATGTCACTATATTAAGTGAAATAAGACAAGCACAAAAAGACAAATATTGTGTGTTCTCACTGATACGTTGGAGCTCAAAAATCAATCTCATGAAAATAGAGTAGGCAGTTGGTTACCAGGACACGAAGGGTATGCAAGTAGCAGAAAGAAAAGAAATTGACTAATGTGTACAAATATAGACTTGATAGAAGAAATAAGACCTAGTGTGAGACAGATCAGTAGGATGAGTAAAGTTTTATCCCCACTACTCCAGTCCATGAAAAATTTATCTTCTGTGAGCTGTCTTCCAGAAAACTGGTCCCTGGTGCCAAAATGGTTGGGGACCATTCTTTTAGAGCACTACGTGTTTAATGGAAATCATTAGTTATACAATGCCTATTATGTGTCAGGAACTTTTAATATGTCTGTAAGACTTTCAGTAAATAGGCAAAATGAGGCTTAGGGAAATTACTTCTTCAAGTCACAAAAGTAGTTAATGTAAGAGCTCCCTCTCAAATGCAGGAGATAGTATTCTTGCTACTGCATTGTGATATTTTTATACTCATCCAGTTATGGTGATCCTTAAAGACTTCATGAGATTTGAAACGAACTCTGAAGAAGGAGATTTTCTCAGGTGAAGAAAGAGCTCAAAACGAAGTAGGGGAAAGCATTCCCAGAAGAAGGAATGTTTCTTTGTCCCACTGACCCGGAATAAAGGCTCCTTGAAGAGGAGGTAGAAGATAAGGCTTGAAAAGACAATGAGGTGAAGAGTCTTGGATATGACACTCAAAAGTTTGTAGCTCCTAAAAGTGAGCCAATAAAAATGTTAATGCTAAGGAATGCATCGATTTTTCAAAGACAAGGTTTTTCTGGCCTGAGATTAAAAATAAATTTCTTACATGAAATCTAATCAGGGCACAGGGCACACAAAGTCACCATGTGTGTCAAAGCAAATCTCAGAGTACTTTTAATGCAATAAACATTTATGAAACATCAGGCATGATGTTTTGTGCTAAATAATTTAACCTTAGAACAAAATTCAGTGAAGATAATAACAGGCTAAATGAATATGACTTCAAAGGTCTCCAAAAGGTAGGTTGATCATCTGTCCTGTTAACCATGATCCTGAGATATTTCCTTACAGATGAACTTTTCCCTTACAACCAAAGGTTTATAGTTCAAGATTATACACTTCATTGAACACCCTGGCCCTGCGGTATTCTTTGCTGTATACCAAGTGCGGATTAATTCGCAGCTCTGAAAATCAGACAAGCAGCTATCACCAGTTGTTCATCACCACAGACATTTAGCTGGACTATGAATATTGGAAAGTAAAAAAAAAAAAAATGGTCGTGGTGAATTCCTTTAAAGAGAAACCAGTGAGAAATATTGCTTCACCTTAAAGCCTAGCTACCCTTTTTCTCAAGACTGTCCTTACATAACCTATTGGCATGGGGAAAAAGTCAATGTTTATAAACTCCGTAAGAAACTTAAAATCTGGAAGAGGCCACTACGCATCATGTCAACAAAATAAAGTAAGATCATTAACACTAGGATCAAAATTTGGAATCCACGTGAAAGATTCTGAAAGGATCACTGAAATCTCAGACCTTATGTACTATTTAAAATATTTCTTTAGGCAGAAATAGAAAATCACTTAGTCCATTCTATTTCAATTTAATTTCCTGGTCTTAAGAAATATGTGTATAACTGATTGAGTTGCCTAATGGGTGCAAACATAAAAATTTGCGTTGGGACTAACTTTATTCTCAGCTTAAAATCAGCAGTATCATTAAAAACACAAATATGGATTTTTTGAAAGTTTAACTTATTAGCCCCTCTTACTATCGGAGCAGGTAAAAACGGGCTAATTGAACAGGAGGCATTCTAACAAAGGAGATTGCCGCATCGCCTGCAGAGACCGGCCCAAGCTCCACGCATTTCTGTTAAGAACGTGTGATTTTTCTGCGCCACCTTGTGGCCATAAAACAATTCGCCCAAGTGAAAGTTGACCGCTTTTTCCCGCGCCTGCCCAGCCTTCCCGAGAGCCGCACTGCGGGCATCCGCCTCCAGACAAACGTGCAGAACCTGGTGTCTTCGTTTACAGTCAGTGATGGTAAACAGACTTCCCGTTCTTCTTACTTCCTCTTCCGTTTCCTTTATTCCTTCATTCCATTTCCTCGCCCACCCCAACCACTGTCCTCAGGCGTTTCCCAGTGTGACCTCCTTTTCCAGATGCACCATCCTGCGGCGGCCCTTTTCCCAGCCCGAACCCTTCCGCATCGCTCTCGCAGTCCTCCCTCTGGGTCCCCCCCGCGCCTGCTCCGCCGCAGTGCGCTCCCGCCACACAGGCCCGCCCCTCCCGCCGGCAGCCAATGGGGACGCGGCCCCGCTCAGCCCCGCCCCTCCCGCCGGCAGCCAATGGGGGCGCGGCCCCGGCCCGCCCCTCCCGCCAGGTCCCGGGGCGTAGGCGGGCTCCGGGAGTCTGGGGCTTCTGAATTCGGGTCTTCTGTAGGGCTGCGGCGAGACTACGTCCCATAGTCCCGCGGCCCGGCCTCGGGGCAGCCATGGACTCGCAGGAGTTGAAGGTGAGCGGACGGGCGGGGTTCCTTTGCGGGCCGCTGGCTCGGGGGCGCGGAAGGCGCTCGGGTGGCTTCGCTAGGCCGCCGTTTCTCGGCGGTGCCCCGGCAGCCCGGGTTGCAGGGTGGGCCTGCAGCCTCCGCCCTCCGCCGGCCCTGCTGGGAAAGCCCAGGTCTGGGCAGCCCGCCCGCGCGCTGTTTCTGAATTGCTCGTCCCCATGCAGCTGGTTGTGTTTACTTTTGCATCATGTTTACTAGGAAAGCTCGGGTTACCTATGACACCGCGCCTCCAGCTGAGACTTTTCGGGCAAACTAGTGTCAGCTGCCACACTGGACAGTAAAAAGAGCCCAGGGAGATTATATGCAACCCATTAAAGACATAAGACTTAAAAATGGAGGGGTGATAGTCTTCTCTGTTTATCACTGACCCATCCATTCAGCAGATATTCATGACAGACAACTTAAGAGAGGCAGATAGGCCGGGCGCGGTGGCTCAAGCCTGTAATCCCAGCACTTTGGGAGGCCGAGGCGTGTGGATCACGAGGTCAAGAGATCGAGACCATCCTGGTCAACATGGTGAAACCCCATCTCTACTAAAAGTACAAAAAATTAGCTGGGCATGGTGGCGTGTGCCTATAATCCCAACTACTCAGGAGGCTGAGGCAGGAGTATTGCCTGAACCCAGGAAGCGGAGGTTGCGGTGAGCCGAGATCGCGCCATTGCACTCCAGCCTGGGTAACAAGAGCAAAACTCCGTCTCAAAAAAAAAAAAAAAAAAAAAAAAGAGAGAGGCAGATAAAAACAGTTAAAGACACGAGGCTTGAAAATAACTTCGGATGTTGGTCTTCTGTATTCATTTGTTGACTGATTCATTCGTTCAGCAAATATTTATGAAGGGCTTACTGTATGTCCGGGAAAAGCTGGAGATGGCAGTGTGCAAAACTGAATAGTCTCTGCCTTCTCAGATTTTACAGGCTAATTAATGCTGGGGGAAAACCCTAATTCAGCTCATTCAACAAGTATTTATTGAATGCCTCCTATGTGTCTAGCACTGTTCTAAGCAGCGAAGTAATACAACCAAGAAAAAAACTTTCAATCTTGGAGCTGACATTTGAGTAGGAGGAGTCAGACAAGTAGGTAAATAAAATGTGTATTCTGTGAGATGGTGGTAAGTAGATGGAGGACAATTTGGGAGTGCGAGAGGTTAGGGGATGCTGGAGTGTCTTGTTTCTCTGCCTGAAATTTTACCTTATCGTCTGTTCTAGCTATCCTGCCATCCCCTTAAATTTTTTCATACCCTTAAATGTATTCTTTGCACTGCCACCCAAATGAACTTCTGAATAAAACACTTTAATGTAAAAATGGGACTCCTCGTCACTTAGACGTGAGAATTAAGTCCAAGTACTTAACATGAGGCTCTTTTCACCCCACCTTTCTGTCCAGCCTCGTCTTCCAATACTCTCTTTCTTTCCGGAGCAGGGAATGGCCAACATTCTCAACAAAGGACCACATTGTACACATTTTAAACTTTATGGGTCATATGGTCTGTCACATCTACTTGGCCATTGTCATTCAAAACAATACATGTTATAAATGAGCAGACTGATGCATTGTAAGAAGGTCCAGAGATTTAAAGCCAGGTCTTTTTGCCTTTAAATTCGTGTCCTTTTTTTGGTGCTCTGCCACTGCCTTTCAGGAGGATTATAGAGAGTGATAGTATACGGACGTCAACTAAGAAGATATTAAACGTGTCCTCAGTTGTGGCAAAGTAAGGGGTCATTTTGCAACTTTAGGGGCTGGAGCATTGGAGGAAAACTGCGCTTCACTGAGATGTGCTGTGGGGGTCTGGAAATGGATTATGGATCACATTTTTAAGAAACATGACTAAAGGCCGGGCGCGGTGGCTCAAACCTGTAATCCCAGCACTTTGGGAGGCCGAGGCGGGTGGATCACGAGGTCGAGACATCGAGACCATCCTGGTCAACATGGTGAAACCCCGTCTCTACTAAAAATACAAAAAACTAGCTGGGCGTGGTGGTGCGTGCCTGTAATCCCAGCTACTCAGGAGGCTGAGGCAGGAGAATTGCCTGAGCCCAGGAGGCGGAGGTTGCGGTGAGCCGAGATCGCGCCATTGCACTCCAGCCTGGGTAACAAGAGCGAAACTCCGTCTCAAAAAAAAAAAAAAAAAAAAAAAAAAGAAACATGACTAAAAAGGAGGGTAGGGAGCACAGAGGAAGGCAGATAAAATTACAGAGAACAGTCGCGTGACTGATCTAGAGAAGTAGGTGGACTATAGCCTGCCAGAAACAAGAGACTATAAAACAGCTGTCAGACGGGTGTGGTGGCTCACACCTGTAATCCCAGCACTTGGGAGACCCAGGCAGGTGGATCACTTGAGGTCAAGAGTTTGAGACCAGCCTGGCCAACATGGTGAATGAAACCCCATCTCTACTTAAAACTACAAAAATTAGCCAGGCACAGTGGTGCGTGCCTGTAGTCCCAGCTTGGGAGGCTGAGGCAGGAGAATCATTTGGGCAGGAGGCAGAGGTTGCAGTGAGCAGATATTGTACGACTGCACTTCAGCGTGAGTGACAGAATGAGACTCTGTCTCTAAACAAATAAATAAATACCCCTTCCATGAACACTCCCTTCGTGGAAGCCTGTCTTCCCCTCCTAAACTCCATCTCTCTCTATTCCCTTCCACTCAGTGTGGAAGCTGCTTTCCTCTGCTGCATTCCATCTTTCTGGATTCTCACATTCAGTGTGAGAGTTAGCTGTTTCTTTCTGTCCCCTTCTGTTTCTCTCTCTCTCTCTAAATAAATCACTTTCTACAAATAAACAAACATCAAATATATAAATAAAACAGAGCTGTCTAGACAGCCTTAGATTTCAATCCTGTCAGTCACCTGTATTTCTCACTGCTACTGAACAAGATGTAGAGTCCAGGTAGGATGGTGTGGAATAGCCCAAACTGCTTTCTGGTGAATTAGGGGTATCTTAGTAATGGCGGGAAAGTGTGGTTTCTGTCTTTGATGAGGTTAGCAACCAAGCCTTAGACATAATCCTAAGAAAAGTGGTAGATAGCACAGGTCCGTTTTTATTCAGAAGGTAGTAGCTCTTGATAGTGGTTTTGTCTTATAAATGGAAATAATATAATTTGGAAAAAGCTTAAAGAGAGCCATTTCCATTGAAAAATAGTTTATTCTTAACTGACAATTTTTTGCAGAACTCAAGCCAATTAAGATAACGGTTGATGATAAATTGAAGAATTTAATTTGTCATTACTCTGTAATGCTGTAATAAAATACTGGATATTTTAAAATACGTTCTGGCAATGGAAGCCTCTTGTCTTTTTTTTTTTTTTTTAATTCCTGTTTATTGTCTGCTTTTCTGTTTTCTAAACCATTCAAGAAAATGTGGGCAAAGGAAAAAAGGTGAAAGCAGGCTCTGTGCTGTTAACAAAAACTTTAGGAAAAAGGATTGAAATTATTAGAAAACATTGAATTATTTTGGTAATTTTATGATCATTCAGTTCTGCAATCTTTAACATTGAGTTCTAGCCATTAACAATATTTTAAGTAACTTGGGAGAAAAAAGGTCACATTGCCTGAGCTTTACATTATTCTAGATGTTAGGTTAATATCTGTTTCTTAGAGTAATTCAGAGCACCAGAATTCCTTAATAACATTTTCTCATTATTTCCTTTTAGACTTTGATTAATTACTATTGTCAAGAAAGGTATTTCCATCATGTGTTACTGGTTGCCAGTGAAGGAATTAAGAGGTATGGAAGTGACCCAGTCTTCAGGTTTTATCATGCCTATGGCACATTAATGGAAGGTACATGCTAATTATTAAACGTGTTTCATCAGTTTTAAATTCTTGCTTTGCACTAAGAACAGTTTTTCATATCATAATCTTGATTTTCAGGTAAAACTCAAGAAGCTCTTCGAGAATTTGAGGCTATTAAAAATAAACAAGATGTATCACTTTGTTCTCTAATCGCACTGATATACGCCCATAAAATGAGTCCTAATCCAGGTATGGTATTTAAGGACAACGCTTAGGACAGTTTTCCTATTCAATTCATTTTGATTTTTCTCAATTACCAAGCCATTCAGTCTGATCACACTGTATTGTATATTGTCTGTAAATACAATTTATACATGTGTTTATCTTCCTGACAAGGATATATTCATCAGGCACAATAAATGTATCTTACACTACTTTCATTTTCTTTATATCCTATGGCAGAGATTTCATTAGTACATAGGGATTTTTTTTGTATGACCATTACGAATATACATTCCCCTTTGGGAACAGCCAAAAAAACAGGTACAGTATATACATAAATTGTCCTGCAGCAGCCAAGTTTACAACTTATGTGCAAATATACAGCCAATGTGGTTTATTTCTTCTGTATATTAAGCTTCTTGAGAGCCTTTAAACCCTTTATGAGGGCTAGCTCTTGGAAGATATTCAGTAAATTTTTATGCAGTAGTAGGTTGACTAGATCATGACTAGATTATAGAAGAAACTTCATACCTGAACCAGCAATTAAAGTTGTGTAAACTGTTGGGCACAGTGGCTGAAGCTAGTAATCTCAGGAACTCGGGAGGCTGAGGTGAAATACTTGAGCCTAAGAGTTTGAAGCCAGCCTGGGCAACATAGTTAGACAGCCATCTCTAAAGAAACAGAAAATAAAAAATAAAAGTTACGTGAACTGTCTTAATGTGCAGTTAACTTAATGATGAAGGCAGAGAGTATCCAAATTATCTGTAATAAAGGAGAAGTGATGTTATATTCTTCCATATATATCCAGTAACAGCTAATAGGATTGTAAATATAGATTGTGTTTCAAATAATTAGATAATAAACAAAGGTCATGGACTGGTTCCTTGAATATTAGAAGAGCCTTTTTTTTAAAGCCAACCAAGACATACCTCCTTCATGCACAAATCAATACAAAGTTATTTAAAACATATAAATATGCTTAATTTCTTTAAGACACAATGCCTAATCCTGTTAGATGATACTAAAGAATTGTAATAAGTGGTCCGTGACATCAAGTTGGTAATCTAGTGGAGAAAACAAAATGTAAAAACCACAAAGATTAAATTCTAGTGTTTCTATTAAATAATATAAAATGAAACAAATGAGTTTCTAATTAATTGAAGTTGATATGCACTATTAAGCTGTAAGAGTAGGCTGAGAAGGCTTTGTGAAAATTTAGAACTTAATCTGATCTTTGAAGGACAGGTAGAATTTGAATATGAAGAGTGTCCACCAGAGAGGAGAAATGGATGGGCAAATACATGGAAGTGGCTCAGGATTAGGCTTTTCTGTGGATCATTAGTACATAGGGATTTTTTTCTCCATGCTCTAGTGGGAGTCTGTTTAGCTAGAGCAGAGAATTTTCATGGGAGAGCTGTAGTCAGTAAGTCTAAATAAAAGACATTAGCACGAAATAATTTCTTTTTAGAATCAAGTTTTTATTTAATTGATTATTCTTACCAGTGTTGATTCTGTTGGAAACTGATTTCCAGGACACTGATGGAGTCAGAAATACTGTTCAGAGGCACCTTAGTGCTAACTCTGCTTTGCACCAAAAATGATGCTGAATGGACTTGAGCTCTGGTAGGGGTCCAGATGTCTGTAAATACAGCCTAGGAAAGTCGTAGATTGTTAGTGTACATTCTTCCAGAATGCTGATGTAAGCTCTGCTTATAAAAAGGCTGAAATCTGGCAACAGCTTTATTCAGACAGTGTTACAGCTGATTGATACCTCATTAGGGATGTGATAGAAATCTGAGTAGGAAAGATTTCCTGTACAATGCCTGCTCCTGCCCTGATTTTTTTTTTTTTTCTATTTCTGTATAATGGCTGTTTAATGAACACTTTTGAAGGGATTGGAGGGGTGGGGAGTTGGGAGAGAAGAAACGGGTCTTCTTGCTAAGCAATCTGTACACTTAAAGAAGCAGCTGTGTTTCCTTACCTCATTAGATTGTACCTTGTTAATCCCACATTTAAATTTATGTCATTAGAGTTGAAAGGAAGAGTCACATACCTTTCTCCATGATAGACATTCCAGAAAGATAGAACAGTTAGAATCACAGGCCTCAATAATACATTTCTTCTTCCTCATTGCATGGCTGATTTTGATTCTGATTCCATCCAGGATGTGGGTATGATTGACTTCTGTGTCCTAAGCAGATACTCTATAGAGAGAGAGAGTAAGTAGATTTAATGTAAGTGAATAGCATTATCTATTTAAGGGAGCAGTCAGTATTAAACTATATAAGTAACAGCAATTATGCTATCTTTTTACTGACCCATAATGATAGCTGGCATGCTTATATATTTAAGAATTGTATTTAAGAAGTATTTATACTTTGAGTCCTAATATTGGACCTGTTCCTAACAATTGTGGTTAGAACCATTATACATTTTTATAAGTCTTATTATTAAAAGAAAATAGCACATATCCTTTCTATTTGGGGAAGGATGTAAACTCTACAGCTATATTGTGCATTACAGTGATCCTTAACCATATACAATTTTTTTTTTTTTTTTTTTGAGATGGAGTCTCGTCTGTTGCCCAGGCTGGAGTGCAGTGGCGTGATTTTGGCTCACTGCAACCTCCACCTCCTGGGTTCAAGCAATTCTCTCTGCCTCAGCCTCCCACTGAGCTGGGATTATAGGTGCCCACCATCAAGCCCATCTAATTTTTTTGTCTTTTTAGATTGGGTTTCAGCATGTTGGCCAGGCTGGCCTCAAACTCCTGACCTCAGGTGATCTGCCCACCTCGGCCTCCCAAAGTGCTGGGATTACAGGTGTGAGCCACTGTGCCTGGCCATATACAACTTTTTTAGCGAGTTTGAGGAACTGAATTTAAAATTTTATTTAATTCTAATTAATTTACTTTTTAAATTTAAAAGTAGTACTTGATTCAGTTATCAGAAAACTTATGTTTGGAATAACTTGAGTCTAAAAATCTGCTTTTCAGACAGAAGTTTTATGAAATCTAAGTACAAATCAAGTATTTCTGAGTAAAATTCAGCATCTTAATTCAGATGTGCTCTTAGTATGAAATACCAGATTTCACAATTAGAAAAAAGAATGCAAAACATCTCATTAATTTTTATATCGATGATGCATTGAAATTATATCTTAAATATATTGGGTTTTATAAAACATTAAGATTAATTTGACTTGTTTCTTTCTATTTCTTTGATAGGGCTACTAGAAAATTTTAAGTTACCTGTATAGCTTGCATTTTATTTCTGTTAGACGTACCACTATGGAAAGAAGTAAATTATTTGCCTTGTTAATCGTCTGACTGATTATAAATACCTGATCCAGAATTTAATTTTTCTTTAATATCACTTTCCCCTCCCAGATAGAGAAGCTATTCTGGAATCAGATGCCAGAGTGAAGGAGCAACGTAAAGGAGCTGGAGAGAAAGCCTTATACCATGCAGGCTTATTTTTATGGCACGTTGGTCGCCATGATAAAGCGAGAGAGTATATTGACAGAATGATCAAAATGTCAGATGGTAGTAAACAGGTAGCTATTTTTCTGATTTTAAAATAGTAACATTAAAAGACGCTTATGTTATTGATATATCCAGTAGTGTCTGCGATTTAGTTCTTTGTTATTGGCCACTCTAGTGCCACTTTATAAATAACAGCTTTATTTTAACCCATTTATGATTATTAAGTGGTTAATAGTGTGTTTATTGTAGAATAGGGATTCTCTAAGGTTAGTTTTATGCTACTAACTCTTTCTGGTTCCTTCCCTGTGTTTTTCTCTTTCTTTTTCTCTCCTTTTTCCTTCCTTCCCTCCATGTTTTATTCTTTCCTTTCCTCCCTCTCTCCTTACAGAACAGCTCTAGATACAAGGCACCATTGTCTGTACGGTTAATAATGCAAAGGAAAAGAATACCTAAACTTCGCTTTCGTGAATGAATAATCAAGCAGTGGCATAGAGCATATCCCTGGCTAATATTGTGAGAAAAATGATAGATGATAGGCAAGAGATGTGATTAAGTTGCACAAGAAAATAATTGATAACATTTATTGTTCGCTTACTTTGTGCTAGGCACTATTTTAAATTAAGGAGAGATCACGTGTGTAAGTGTTAAGAGAATGTGAAAGAATTTTTTTGAAGGAAGTAACATTTGAGCAAAAACCTGAAGATGAATACAATTTCAACAAGCAAAGATAGTGGAAAAGCAAAGTAGATACTCCCAAAGTGAGAAATAATAGATGGAAATGAGACATGTTACTTCTGGGATAACATGAGACATGTTACACTGAGATACTCATATTTGACGGAACACAGGGTACAGAGATAATTGAGGGTGGAAGAAAAGCTTGGAGAGGTAGATTGAGACAAATTGAAGGATCTTGACAGCTAGTTACAAATATTTGCATTTGATTTGACATGCATTGAGAGGCTGTTGAAGACCTTTAATCATGGTACTGATTTTATTAGGGTGCAAATACAGAAGATTAATATAACAATGGTTTCTAGAATGGAGTGGCTTGAGGTTAAACTGGAATGAATGCAGCAAAAAAAAAAAAAAAAAAAAGATAGTGCTTTCTTGCAGAAGGTTTTGAGGCTCTACACTAAAATACTGTACAGTGAATATGAAGATCAGAATTTTTAAATACTGACAGGACCTGTGAATTGATAATAAATAGTTGGGAAAGATAACAAGTTGTCACATATTAGGATATCCTTGAGGCTTTAAGCCTAAATAAGTTAGAGACCAGTTAACATAATTAGAAAATCCAGTGGCATAAGAAGCTAATCATAAAGGGAAGTGATGTATTTGACTTAAGACATGCTGTATTTCTGGTGCTGGCAGAACAGTAAGATGGAGATAGCAGATTAATTTCTGGAAAAATAAAAATTTAGAAAAGGTTTTGGGCTAGAAATATAGGTTGGGAATCATCCACACAGAAACAATAGTTAAAATCACTCAAATAATGGCACTGATTTAGTACATAGCATTGGTTAAGATTCTTATCTGTGTTTTCAAGTGAAATACAGGGAGATAAATATAGTCTTAGTTAAAGGTTTATAAATTGGTCAATTAACCTAGATTTTTTTTAATAGAAGGGCATATTACACAGTTTTTTATTTGAACTTAAGCAGAAAAATAACCAGTTTGCATATTCTTTTCAATCATATATGTCTTACAACCCATGGGCCCACTAATGTGTAAAGATAAATATTCATGAGTTACTCAGTTTTTAATTTCTCAGGCCATTCACCTGTCATTTGAAATTCAATGGACTAATCAAAGAGATTAAGAAAATAGTTGCCAGATTATCTGAATCTTTAAGATATGTGAAGCAAGACATTTTCTGTTACTTCATCTTAGTTCATTTAGGCTGTTTGCCCAAAAAGAGACAACAAATTCTCATGTTTATATTGAATTACATGTTTAAGCATTATTAATCGTCAATTACTAGCAAAATCTCAGAGAAAATAATGTTCTTAACACTAGTGAAATATTTGATAAAGCATCTTAATTTTAATATTGAGCTCAATAGTAATGTTAAAGGCTGAAATTTGTAGTACAGTTCCCAAGACACTAGGCTGGCAAGGGTTCAAAAGTGATTTCACTAACAGAATTTTATTGTTCATCACATTATTTGATACAGTCTTTTTTGGTATTAATTGCCAAAAAATGACATTAGCCTCTTTATTAACATTTCTTTCTTTCATTTCTAAAAAAGTAAAAATAGAATTATTTATTTTACAGGGACACATTTTGAAAGCATGGCTTGATATTACAAGAGGAAAAGACGCTTACACTAAAAAAGCACTGAAGTATTTTGAAGAGGGACTCCAAGATGGGAATGATACTTTTGCTCTGCTGGGTAAGGTGAGTTGGAGTTAAGGTAAATAAATCATGCTTCAAATTTTATTCATAATACATTTGAAACCTGACAAAACCAAGTAGCTCAAAAAAGTTGATTAATTTTCATGATAGTATTTTCAGCTCACAGCTGTAAGGAGAACTTGCATTTGTGCGGGACAATGAACAGTACACTAGAGAAATGTATTCTCTGCCGAAGTTCCTGAATCCTGGATCAGCTGTAACCATTGTTACTGTTTTGTTTCATACATTCTTTCCTCAGCATTTATTACATGTCTATGTATGTGAGGCATCACTCTAGATATTAGAAACCCTGAGCAAGACAAAACCTCTTGTTTTTATGGAGCCTATATTCTACTGATAGAGACAGACAATAAACAAAATAAGTAGTCAATTATGTAGTATATTGGAAGGTGATAAGTACAATGGAAAATAAATACAGCAGGAAAAGCTGGAGGGCATGAACTTCCAATTTTACATGAAGTAGTCAGAGAAAGTGACATTTGAGTGAAAACATTTAAGGAGGTGAGGGTTAAAGCCCTGTGGGCGTTGGGGAAAGTATTTCAAATAGAGGAGATAATGAGTTCAGACACCTTAAGGAGTATTCAGAAGGCCAAAGTGGGATGAGCCAAGAGAACAGAAGTGAAGGCCTGAGGAAGAAAGATGGGATGGGGGTTAGGAGGAGTGGTGGGCCTGTTCTGTAAGGCCTTTGGCTTCTACCTTCAATTAGAGAGACAGGCAACCAATACAAAGTTTTGAACAGAGAAATAGCATGATCGGACATACGTTTTAAGTGATGAGCAACTGATGGAGTCATTAGAACTCAGCAAAGGGTGGAAATATTTAAGTAGGACCCTTTCTTCAATCCCTATTGATGCTTTCTAAATGCCTTAAAATTTTTTTAAAATTATTTTTGACTCAGCAAAAAGCAATTAAATTTATATGTTAATTTAAGTAAATTTATATGCTGATCTAATAGACAACGAGGATTCATGTCTTGACTTGTGTTAATGTCCCCACATTACTTTTCCTGTCACTTTGCACGGACAGTGAGCCTATAGAACATAATTGTTCAGACCCACCACCCTCAAGTTTTACCTGATAACACTGCTGTAGAAATTGGCCATATATTTTTCTTGATCATTTTCTTTCTCTTAAAGAAAAGCTAGTTGATAAAAATGTGCCTCATCATCTCTTCTTAATGTACTAACTATATTTACAGCTTTATTTTTTCTATGAAAGTAGTACATGAACATAGTAAAAAATTTTTTTCAGAAAATGCAGTAAAATCTGAATGAGAAAATGAGCGTCACTATTGGAAATAACCAGTTACACTATTATGTATAATATCTCCTCATGTCAGTAAATATACAGCTACAAATTTATATTATTGTTTTTGATGATTACTTAAAATGTTATTAAATAGATATACTATGATTTTCTCCTCTAGGTCCATTTGAGATTATTTTATACATAAACAGTTCTGCCATAAATATCATCTATATACCTCCTTGTGATCTTCTCTAATTATTTCCTTCAGATAATTCATAGAAGTGAAAATGTTGAAGTAGGGGGATTTGTTTGAACTTTATTTTTCTTGTTCTTTAAAATCGCATATTCTTTAACCTGCAAATAATTTCTTAAAAAAGATGCAAAATTTCTAAAATTTCAGATGCTACTTAAAAATTTCCTGGAAACATTTTAATCTAAAAAGATAATTTTCCTGTTCTAAATGGAAACATTATTTTATGGTGTTTCTAAGAAACTTTTAAAAAATTTTATCCTTTCATCATAGTTTTCAGCTGTTTAAAAGTAAATTCTAAAACACAATAGCTTATGTAATGTATTTGTGTTATTCTGTAATGTTTTAAAATTTTGTTTTGACAAAAACTTTACTCCTCACAGAAAAGTCAGCAAATATTAAATACTCATACCCTGCCCACTCTGTGTTAGGAAAACTTTGATATGAAAGATCACACTTTTGATATCACTGTTTTTTTTCCTTCCATTAGGCACAATGCCTGGAGATGAGGCAGAATTATTCAGGTGCTCTAGAGACTGTGAACCAGATAATCGTGAACTTCCCGAGCTTCCTTCCTGCTTTTGTTAAGAAAATGAAGTTGCAACTAGCCTTGCAAGACTGGGACCAGACAGTTGAGACAGCACAAAGGTTAAGTAATAAACGATGATACAAGTTGGATTTGGTTATAATTTTGAGAAAATGAAAATCTGTATGTATTTTTTGTCGTAAGATTTTTTTTAATCTGATTTTTTCAGACAGTATGGAACCGAGGAAATACTTAAAATTATACTGCTTTTAAACACTGAATTTATTGTTTTACATAAATATTTGATTTCTATTCTAAGACAAACACTCTTTTTAGGCAAACAGGCCAATATCCCTGTAGTCATAAAGCTTATATTCAAGTGAGAGGAACCATATCCTAAGCACACCAAATAAGTATATTCTATAGTATGTTAGAAAGCTGTGAGGAAAAGATAAACCAGGAAAGAAATAGGGAGTGTTGAGGGGTTCAGTCTTATGAGGTGGTCATGGAAGACTGAAACCTTTAGGAGTAAGCCATGCAGGTATTTGAGAGAAGACTTTGCAGAAAGAAGGAAAAGGAAATGCAGAGTCTCTGAGGCAGGAGCACATGTCATGTGTTTGAGGAGTGGGGAGGGGTAAGAGAGGTGAGTAGGGTGTGAGGTCAGAGACAAAGGTTGGGAGGGAGCCCATGCTAGATGGTGAAGGGTCTTGTTGGCCATATAAGAATTTGGGGTTTTCTTCTGAGACACGAGGTCACTGGACGGTTTTGAGCAGAGGAGTGCTGTAATCTAAATTCTATTTTAAAGAATTACTCTGCCATGTGCAAAACAGACTGTGGGTGAGCAGGCAAAGGCAAAAGCAGGGAGAGCGTTTTGAGAGCTGTTTGCCATCATGGAGAAATGCTGGGGGTTAGCCATTGCTCTTTGACCAGTATCACCGTATTTGTCTTGATTACTGAAGCATTGTGGTAAGTCTTGAGGTCAAGTAATGTCAGACCTGTAACTTTGCTCTTTTCCTTCAATAATATGTTGCTATTCTGGGGTTTTTCACCACTCTATATAAACTGTAGAATCAGTTGGTCAGTATCCACAAAATAACTTGCTGGGATTTTGATTGGTATTGCATTGAGTTAGTTTATAGATTAAATCGGGAAGAACTAACATCTTATATTGTCTTTGCATCCATGATATGGAATATCTCTCCCTTTATTTGGTTTTTCTTTGATTTCTTTTATCAGAATTTAAAAATTTTCCTCACAGACGTCTTGTACATTTTTTCTTAGATTTGTATGTACCTAAGTATTTCACTTTAAGGAGTGCTAATGTAAATGTTGTGTTTTTAATTTCAAATTCTACTTGTTCATTGCTAGTACATAGGAAGGCAATCGATGTTATATATTAACCTCATATTCTACAATCTTGCTGTAATTACTTGTTAATTCCAAGAGTTTTTAAAATTAATTCTTTTAGATTTTCTACATAGATGTTCATGTCATCTGTGAGCATCTATTATTTCTTCCTTTCCCTGATCATTTTAAGACTTAGTAGCATTCTGTGAATTGAAAACACAAATAATTTATTCTTTCCCCATTGGCAAGCACTTAAGATACTGTATTTGTTAGGATAGGCTAAACTGCTACAAGAATAGATCTAAACATATAATGATTCAATGTAATAGAAAAATTTTCTCCATATGTAACTGTTTTGGGGAAATGTTATAAGTTTTCAGGCAGCTTTCCTCCACACTGTTTTTAACGGACTTAGACTCCTAGACTCTTTCCATCTTGTAATCTGCCATCTCCTAAGACCTCATAACAGCTGGCAGAAGGGGAAAGATAATTTAGAGAAGTCATTCCACTTTTTATAGAAGCCCAGGCCCAGAAATGGCATACATTACTTTATTTCATGTTGACCATGTCTAACTGCAAAGATGTCTAGGAAGTGTTGGCTAGCCACGTGCTCAAGCAAATCAGGAGAGAATGGATTTGAGGAGGCAAATTGTAGTCTCTGCCTCAGGTATATAATTTTAAATTTTTGATAGGCACTGCCAAATTGCTCTCTTAGGAAACTGTACTAATTTACACTCCTACCAGTAGGCTATTGAATGTTCCCTTACCTTATCCTCACCAATTCTGGCTATTTTCAGTGTGTGTATTTTTGTTTTTGTTTTTTAAGCAATCTGAGAGATATCTTATTTTTATTTTCATTTCTTTTATTGTGTTGAGATTGAGCAACTTTTCACATGCTAACAGCTATTGTTTTTCTTCAGTATATGACTGGTTCTAAGTATGCCTTTTTTTTTCTCCAAGCGAGCCTATTCTCTCCTCAGTTTCAAATGGACTCTGATAATTTTTCTAACAAGTTCTCCATCCTCTCTCTTTCTTTCTTTCTTTTTCTCTCTCTTTCTTTCTTTCTTTGTCTTCTTTTTTGTTTTTTTGACAGTCTCGCTCTGTCACCCAGACTGGAATGCAGTGGTGCGATCCTGGCTCACTGCAACCTCTGCTTCCCAGGTTCAAGTGATTCTCATGCCTCAGCCTCCTGAGTAGATGGGATTACAAGGCACCCATCACTATGCCCAGCTAATTTTTTTGTATTTTTAATAGAGATAGGGTTTCACGATGTTTCTCTTACAATAGTTTTGTTGGCTCTTTTTTATTTATTTATTTATTTTTTTGCTCTTGACTGTCATAATCAGTTTACAAAGTAAAGAAAAAAAAAGAAACTATAGAAAATTTTGGTTTGAATTGCATTAAATTTGTGGTCATTTCTGTGTGTGTGTGTTGGGGGGTGAAACGTTTCTTAACCAAAACTGAGCATCATTATATCAGGTAGCTATTGATGTATAGCAAACAACCACAAATGTCAGGACATGTAATAGTAAGTATTCTTTCCTCACGTTTGTGTCAGTCATCAAGGGTCTGCTGATCTTAGGCAAGGCTTGGCTGGGGCCCTGCTTCAGTTCAGATCCAACTAATATACATGAGCATGATTATATACACACATGAAACTGCAATTTTATGGCATTCTAAATAATTCATTTAAGTACATTTTGGCGTTTAAACAAAGATCAAATCAAGCTTTACACTTGTAAGAACATAATTTTAAATTTTAATATTTTAAATGTAAAAAGGCAGCTAAACACAAAGTACAGATCAGAAAACCCTCATTTAATATAGATTTTGGAAATTAAAAAATTTGTAACACGGTGGCTTTCTTACCCACCCTAAAATGTAAATAAAACCTCTTCCCCAGATTTGTACTTCATACTTGGTAACAACCTAAAAGTTTTTCAAATCTGTGAAAAAAATCTACCCGACCAATTTAAATTACCTGGGAAAGGGCAGGAGAGGAGATCAATAATCAGAGTCAGTTGCACACAGATGGAAAGTATTCTTTCCTCACATGTGTGTGGGTCATTAAGGGTCTGCTGATCTTAGGCAAGGCTTGGCTGGGGCCCTGCTTCAGTTCAGATCCAACTGGGTGAGTGTGGCACATCGTTGCAGTTTGGGCTCTTGTCATCTCCAAGAGTGTTTTCCCCTGGACTCGTGAAAAGAGGCAGCTGCTGCTCAGAGAAAATCGTTCTCCTAGTGATAGCAGCTGCAAGAGAACAAGCAGAAATATGCATTGCCTCTGAAATCTAGGCTGGTACGCTGCTACTCCTGCCCACATTCCATTTGTGAATATAAGAAAAATGTCCAAGTCCCTAGTCAAGGAGCAGTAGGGTACACTCCAACTTTTGTAGTTAGTTTCACGGTAGAAGACACATACTCCGGGAGGGTTGAAAAACTGGAACCAGTAATTGAGTGTACTGTATCATCCATGGTAAGAAGTCTAGGGTGTTACCTTTTTGGTTCAGTTCTTTTTTAAAATGTCCCTGAATACAGTTTCATGGGAATTTGATAGCTTTTACACATTTCATAAGTTCATGCTTGTTATTTTTTTCTTTTGGGTTTTTGTTCCATTTATTAATAGGATTTTTTAATATAACATTTCTCATTTGTTTTTGTCACATAGGAATCTGTTGCTGTGAGTAACATTAGTAGGTGTTGTAATGTTCTACCCAGGTTTGCATTCCTGGAATTCCTGTAATAAATCAACCTGTTAAGGTGAATTATTCTTTTACTATACTGTTGTATATAGTTAGCTAATACCTTATGTACGATTGTTACAAGATTTAATGAGACTAGTACAACCTAGTCATATCTTTTAAAAATACATTAAAAATTAAATTCCAGAGACCTTTTCTTGTTTAAATAATAAAGTTGATAATTTTCACAAAGCAGGTGACATTTTACTAATGAAAATTACTTATTTGAACAGTGGAATAGTGAGGTAAGCAAACCAACTTTTCATGCCCTCAAATGAAAGAAAATATATAAAGTTGTTTCAACATTAAATAAAATGTTTTCTCGCAGGTTGCTGCTCCAAGATAGCCAAAATGTGGAAGCGCTGAGAATGCAGGCACTCTACTATGTGTGTAGGGAGGGGGATATAGAGAAGGTAAGTGGCATTGTATTATTTAAGTGTCTTATATTTAAAAATGTATTTCATTACACTTACGGGTGTACATGTATATATACATGTGCATATAAATCCTCGAAGTTCTCTTTTAGAATGTGTATCATGGTAGTTTTCAGTTGATTACTAGACTATTCCTTAACAAGGAGGTCAGCTTCTGAAACCTATTTGTAAAGCAAAAATATTACACAGATAAAATTACCCTTGAAAATCCTTTAAGTCATTAATCAAAGGATATATGGTTTTCTGTATGAAACTCCTGTGTCGTGATATATATGATTAATGTAACCAGTGACACTAGATATGAAAAAGTATGTATGCAAAATGTAATTTATAGTAAATTTACAGTTTAACTGAATTTGCAAAAGATAAATGGGCTTAGAATAAAATCCCATTGTACCTTATAATAAAGTACCTCTGTTTCTGTAGTAGTAAACGCACTGACTGTAGATTGGATCATGGAGTGCTGAACTGTAATCTGAAAGAAATAGTATAACATGTAGTAGATTTGTGTTGTGTTTAGTGTGGTTAAATTGGTTAATGTGACAGTGCCTAATAGATACTTACCAGTAAGTACTAGGAGAAGCTTAGTAGGGGTAAATCTTTGGTAAATTTTCCAGGCATTGAAATTTCTAACTCTAAGTACTGTAATGATTTTTCTATTCTAAAAAATATTTTGACTGGAAACTAGTCTATATAGGCAATTCAAGGACTGATATCATATGATTCGTAAATACATTATTATTTGTATCTCATTTGTGTCATGAATTAACTATTGGAGGGGGAGCTGGGCATGTACAATTAATGGAATATTATGGGCATCGTTACCTATTCAAAGGTTTCCATTCAATAACAAGTATTAAAGAAACACATTCTGAAATGTATTGATAATTGTTGAGTTTGTTAGAACCTGAAATATATTGTATAACGCATAATCATCCATTGGAAGAGGAAGAATCTATAAAAGCAAATGTCTTTTAAAATACTAGTTGTGTTATACTTTGTTAGTGTATATGTGCATGTATTGTGTTGTTTTTTCTTAGTATATTTTAAAATTAATACCAGTCACTTTTGTTTTAGGCTTCTACTAAACTGGAAAATCTGGGAAATGCGTTGGATGCTGTGGAACCACAGAATGCTCAGCTCTTCTATAACATTACCCTCGCCTTCAGCAGAACTGTGAGAGTGCCTACCATGTACCACAGCTCTGTTATCTGCAGGAGAGGACATAAAATAAGTGGAAAAGGTGGAGGCAGGGGAGAGCATATGGCCTAGAGTACAAATATGTATTGAAATACATGATATATTTCTAAGAATGGCAGTTCAGAGGAGATGTGGTTTCTAACTATAAGAAGCCCTGATGGAGGCTTCATGGAAGAAGTGCCACGTATTGATCTTTTAAGCGTAGTGAAGTGCTTTCCAGGCAAAGGAAACAGAAGGTGGTTTATTTTCATTAGAGCATAAGATTTATGACCAGGATTGCTCTTAGCTTTTATTTTTTAAAACTTTTTTTTAAAAAAAGTTTTAAAATGTATAAAAGACCATTTTGGTAGAGGAAATGGTTGGTATCTTTTTTTTTTCTGTTTTTGACATTAGGAAAGAAATGTTTTTGTTATAAGCTCCCAGCAAAAGGAAGGTAATCAAGAATGATATAGAAAAATACAGTCGAATCTTGAAATCAATATAGGAAATGAGAATATTGAAAAGGTAATTAAACTAGCAAAATATAGGGGAAAAGATACACATAAGAAAGTTAAAATAATTAGCAAGCATAAAGTTGAAAGAAAAATATCAAGGATATTAAGTGACATGAATATACTGAATTTTCTTATTTAAAAACAAAGATAAATTTTGGAGGACGAAAACTCCCTGCTATAATGAAAGTTTGAATTAAGAAAGGATTTACCTTTTTAGCTTACCATATTGCTAAACACATTATTTTGATTAGTTTTTTACTAAGTTTATAAAAATTATATAAGTTGGTTCAAACATTTGAATAAGTATTTTATTCTTAAAAGTCTTGTCTAGAAAAGTTATTTACTTATTCTAATAACACTGCTATTTCTTGAAATCTTTTCAAGAAGATTCTGAGGCACCATCTTTTAAAATATTCTCACTGGTGACACAACTGGTGTTTAGAGTGAAAACAGATCCTAGTCCTAGTTTTTATTCAATAAGAAGAAAACATACATATGATATACACACACTAACACACATACACACATACACATGTAGCCTTAAAATAATGATTTTCTTGTTCAATCTGTAACACAATCATGGAACAGCTTGGAAAAGAAGTTCAAAAAATTACGTCTGTGCAGTGAGATCATTAGAAGTATACTTTTCATATCGGTTATTTCGTAAAAGCACCCTATTAGGATATATAAGTTCTGATAGAATATAAACTCTTTCTTGATGCATTGTCTAGACAGTTAATAGAAAAGTTTTATTTTTCCTTAATTATTAATATTTTTCTTTTTTTGCCACTCCTGTGAAGTACAAATAATATATATATTTAGCAAAAATAATCTTTCAGTCTCAGTAGAAATGTTTGACTTTGAAATCATGCATAATTTATTTTTTCTTTTTAGTGTGGACGTAGTCAACTCATTCTTCAAAAAATTCAAACGTTACTTGAGAGAGCTTTTAGTTTAAACCCTCAGCAGTCACAAGTTGCTACAGAACTTGGATACCAAATGATTTTGCAAGGAAGAGTTAAAGAGGCACTGAAGTGGTATAAGACCGCCATGACACTTGATGAGACTAGTGTGCCTGCACTAGTTGGTATGACAACTGTTTTCTTAAATATTTATAACATAGGTACAAGTAGTAATAGTTTTTAACTTGCCATTAAAGAAGTACAAATGTATTTTGTTGTTTTCTAAACTTAAATTGTTCTCTACTACCCACACTAGAAAAAGTCATATGTCTTTTAAAATAAAATTTTTAATTCACAAATAATATCTTGAGAGAATAGATTTTTACAAGGTGATTCCTATAAATTATGAATTCTTCAGTGAATGATTTTATAAAGTTCAAGGCTACCCATTTTATTTACTTTCACTCTTCATTTTCTTTCTGTTGTTTTTAATCTAAAACTTTGAAGTATTGTGATGAGGGTAAGCCTGTTTTATTAATGTTACGTTAGCTTGGAGAGTGCATGCCTGAGTTGGTGTGGACTTTAACTGTCTTTCTCCTGTTTGATTTCAGGATTGATCCAGTGTCAATTAATAGAAGGGCAATTACAAGATGCAGATCAGCAGCTAGAATTTTTAAATGAAATTCAGCAGTCCATTGGAAAATCTGCGGTACAGTATTTTATTTTATCAGATGGTAGATGCTAGCTGTTTATAAAATACGAAATTTTAAATCAGTCTTACTGTTTTGTAATGGCTGGAAAGCACTAGTATACAATAATTTTAATATGTAATTGCATTTATTAATTTGCCTCCATACAAAACCAAACTTTATTCTTCTGAATGATTCTAAAATCTATTCAAGCTGATACTTAAATTGGAACAAATAATTGCCTATTAGTAGCACATTAAATGCATTTGAAATCTAAGCAGAAATAAATGGCTTTATAACTAAATTGAATAATTTATGAAAACTACTTATTTTCTAGGAATTAATATATTTACATGCTGTTCTTGCCATGAAGAAAAATAAGCGACCAGAAGAAGTTATTAATATTTTAAATGATGTCCTGGACACTCATTTTTCACAATTAGAAGGTTTACCTCTAGGCATACAATACTTTGAAAAGCTAAATCCTGATTTCTTGTTAGAAATTGTGACGGAATATCTGAGCTTCTGTCCAATGCAAGTAAGTAATTATGGGACTTACTTTCAAGGATGCATTTGCATGATGTTTTATGAAAGAACTTAAAAGTTTTCTTTGATGCATTAGACTATATAAGCATCTTAAAATGGCAGTATTTGTATCTATGTTAGTTGAAATCACTTTTAATCAGACTGTTTTTAATAACAATTGTTGTCAACTACTGAAAGTATTGGTTTGCATATATTCATTTGTATTTCATAAAATTTTAAAATCTTCACTTTAAAGAGATATTAAAAGTCAACTAATTCAGACACCTACCTTATGTTTGCATCCAGTCTGTAACATCACCGTCAAGTGCCTATCCCATGTCTGGGCAAACTCAAAAATGTAGTTCTTATCATATAACTATGATTGTTAGCCTGTTTTTCCTGTGTTAAATCTGTGTAAATCAAATTCTGCTTTGTGTTTAAAAAAAAAAAAAAAAAAAAAAGCATTTACTTTCCCTCCTGCTCCCTAGAGTGACATAGAGCAAGTCTAGTTGCTTAGAGCAAGGATCATTCCTCATTCATGAAACAAACCTTCAGATATTGGCAATTAGTTTTCATGTTCTTCTAAACAACTTCAGGTTTCCAGCCATTTATTTTTTTTATATGACATAGCTTTGAGAATTCTGGCTGCTTTATTTTGTCTGCGCCTCTCATTAAGCTCATTATTCCAAATGTGGATTTGACCTGCAAGAACTAGAGTAGACCTTTTCCTCCCTTATTCTGTAACTCCATCCAACTTTCTTTTTATAAATCATGTTACATTAATGACCTCTATTGAATTGAGTTAATCAAAGACTTTTGGTCTGTTACTTGTTGAACCTTTGGACTGTGAAATTTTATCTTTTCAGATTCATCTCATAATTCCATATTATTATATTCCTTGTGAATCATGATTGTCACCTATTTTAGATGGAGCCTTACTGTCATCTATCATCTGCTTTGTCTAGCTCTGAGATAACTATTACCATAAGTTCTCTTCCAAGCATTAACAGTTTTGAGTAGAGCTGAGGCTGGAACCCTATGTTGTACTACCAGAGAGTTCTTTCCAAATTGATGTGGATTTATTAGTCAGCACTCTTAATACAGATAGTAAGCAGATACAGACATCCTAACTTTATTATATTTCAGCTCACATTCAACACAGGGATATCAGGGCAGGTACTATCAAACACTGCATTGCTAGAAGCAAACTTCTTAGTATTCTCCCTGATCTACAGCTTCATTAACTGTGTTAACATGGGGAATAAGGAAAATGACCTTCCCGTTGGGGACCCATACAGCCTTTTGATCATTTTCTAGGCTTTCATTACTATTTATTTTTTAAAATAAACACTCATAGAATTGTACCTGGGATTGACCTCAGACTCCCCGATCATGATCCATTTACACTTGCTTGGAAGTTGGAATACATTTTTTTCAGTATTAATCTAGTATTCAGGATTCATTCTACAAATATTTATAGAGTACCTAGCACTCAACTTGGAGCTGGGGAAATACCCTTGTAAAACAAACTACATTTTTTTCCCCTGAGGTGTATATTCCAACAAGAGGAGACAGATACTATAGTTAAGTCAATTATATACTATGATTAGAAAATGACAGGAGAAAATAATGAAACATGATGGGGTGATGGTGATTTTTAGATACATTGGTCAGGATAGGCCTCATGAAGAGGATGAGATCTGAACAAAGTCTTGAAAGGGAACATGTTTTAGGCTTCTCTAGAGGGACAGATCACATGATTACAAGGTCCCACAATAGGCTGTCTGCAAGCTGAGGAGCAAAGAAGCCAGTCTGAGTCCAAAAGCTGAAGAACTTGGAGTCCAGTGTTTGAGGGCAGGAAGCATCCAGCCTGAGAGAAAGATGCAGGCTGGGAGACTAAGCCAGTCTAGTCTTTTCATGTTTGTCTGCCTGCTTGGTTTTCTGGCCGTGCTGGCAGCTGAATAGATGATACCAACCCAAATTAAGGGTGGGTCTGCCTTTCTCAGCCCACTGACTCAAATGTTAATCTCCTTTGGCAACATCCTCACACTCATCCTCACAGAAGCACCCAGGATCAAGACTTTGCATCCTTCAGTATAACCAAGTTGACAGTATTAACCATCACAGAACATATGAAAATATGGTAGAGTGTTTCAGACAATGGGAGCAGCTGGTTCAGTAGCCCAAAGGGACACAGGGAAATAAATGTGGCTGGGGCAGGGTGAAGAGGAGGGGAGTAGTCAGAGATGAGGTCATCCCACAGGAGACCAGTCCTCATAGGGCCACAGTGGTTGTTATAACTCCTTTGGCTTAATTCTGAGTATATCAGGGAGTCACCAGAGGGCTTCCAGCATGATCCAAGTCAACATTTTAACTCAGTGTTTTAATGGATTTCTCTGTAAGATGTCCTGAGAATTAACTGTAGACAGAACAAGAAATAATGCATTAAGTGGTAGTTGGGTCTCTAGTTCAGCAAGACATCCTATTTTCCTTTACCAGGAAATTCTATTTTCCTTTACCAGCATGTTAGAAAGTAATTAGCCTATGTGATATTGTCTTCATAGGTAAATACCAGAAAGGCAGAATTGTCTCCTCAGTTCTGTTCCTACTTCCTTGACCCTTTTATAGACATAGTTTTGTTTAGAATTTTAATTGAACAAATAATATCTTAAAGATTGTCTGCATAACTATTTTTTCTATGATTGCGCATTGAAATTGTTTGCAGTAAAAATAATGGTTGTTCTCAGTAACTCATTTTTAGCAGGTGACAGAGAACACTATCAGAACCTCACCACCATTTACATTTTCCCTATTTTTAGGCTGAAAAAAGATACATATTTTTAAACTGTTTGCTCTGTATCTACTACTATGCAAAGAAGCATAAAAATCTGATCTTCAAGACACATAAAAACCCTTAGGCCTATAAAAGAAGCAAAACTAAATATGAAAATACCAGTAGAACTGTATAGGTATTATACAGTGCTAAATTTTATTATGTAGATTTTATGTGAAGAATTTAAAGAGGTTGAAGTATTCTAGGCAATAGTAGTCATACTGTGATTATCTTTTTGAGCTTCTATATTATGTGTGTCAAAAATCAGTAAGTTGTAGCACTTTCTTGTTGATCATAATGGCTCATTATAGGAGTGATTTTCTATAAGAGGGCACAGTCCAGTTAAAGATCTTTGTGTGTCAGGGGGCGAGGGGTGGAGGGGATCATCCTTATATAAAGAAACAGGCGGCCGGGCACGGTGGCTCAAGCCTGTAATCCCAGCACTTTGGGAGGCCGAGGCGGGTGGATCACAAGGTCGAGAGATCGAGACCATCCTGGTCAACACGGTGAAACCCCGTCTCTACTAAAGATACAAAAAATTAGCTGGGCATGGTGGCACGTGCCTGTAATCCCAGCTACTCAGGAGGCTGAGGCAGGAGAATTGCTTGAACCCAGGAGGCGGAGGTTGCAGTGAGCCGAGATCGCGCCATTGCACTCCAGCCTGGGTAACAAGAGCGAAACTCTGTCTCAAAAAAAAAAAAAAAAAAAAAAAAAACAGGCTTAGTAAGGCAAAGCAGGAGGAATGAACATTTTATATTTTAATTCTGATATCACATTAATAAATTGTGATTGGATGACCATTGGATAAAGATTGGTTTGGTAGACAGCCATTATAAGAATAAGATCTGCATTAATAAGACAGCCGTTAAAAGGATAAGATTCTTTTCACTGTGAAAAGAATAAAGCAGTATTCCAGTATCAATTTAATTATCATACTCACTATTAATAGAAAGGAAAACTTTGAGGCTCTAAAGCATGCCAAGCAGAAGAGTGGGGAATGTAAAATGTAAAATGCAACATTTAGTTTAGCATAGTGAGTGTTCTACCTTCTGTTTACCACTGGGGGAAAATCTGAATTGTTTAGCAACTGGCTTTTCAATACTCTAGGGGATAATGAAAGTAATTGAATTGAGCAAATCACAAGGCAGATCTAGAATTTGAACACTTACTGCCTTGACTCTGTCAGTTCTAGCAAGAAACTTTACCTCATAGTTATCTTTCCTTTAACATGTATTTCTCTGATAAAACTTTTGAGCACATATACTCACTTGATATGTTATCAATTTAGTAATTGTATACTAGTTGCACAATTATTTTGCTGAACAAGAACCCTTATTTACATTGTCTGTTCATACATTCCAGGGAAATAAATTAGTTAAGTCATAGTAAAGGTATTATGAAATAAGTGAAATCAAAGACATTTTAGAAAAATGTGTATAGTTTTGTTAGTTATGCTAAAATTAATGTATGTTTATTTTTAGCTAAATATTATTTTACACTTATAAAATGATGTGCTGATTTGTTTTGTTTAGCCTGCAAGTCCCGGGCAACCTCTTTGTCCCCTTCTCAGGCGTTGTGTCTCAGTCCTGGAGACTGTAGTAAGAACCGTACCAGGTCTTCTGCAAACTGTCTTCCTCATAGCAAAAGTGAAATATTTGTCAGGTAGAGTATACTTCAAAAACTTTTAACCTCTTTATTCTGATGTTGATAAAAACAAGTATAAATAAGCACTCTGCATATGGAGAATAGTCATATAAAATGTACATTTTGTATATGCATAGTTAAGTAATTCTAATTCAAAATAGAATTGCGTGACTTATTGTTTAATCCTTTAAAAATTACTATAAACTTTTGTGGCTTCCTGGGAATTGCTGGGAAAATGAAATTGTACCATTTAAAAAAAAAGTCTGTCAGAAATTACTGGAGAATGGCAATGTGAATTTACAGTCATTAATCCATAGTTATGTTCTTACTGGCGACGTTGCCAAGTGCAACATTTGCCAGATTTCAGGCCCGACTGAAAAGTATTGAGTAATTCCTGTTTAGTTTCTGTGAATGGTTATGTATAGCTTAAAACAAAATCAGCTCAGCTATAACCTTAGCTTTCTAAGACACAGACAAGTACATGATTTCACACATAAAAATAGACCATCATGGCTGGGCACAGTGGCTCACACCTGTAATCCCAGCATTTTGGGAGGCCAGAGCTAGCAGATTACTTGAGCCTGCGAATTCACAATGAGCCTGAGCAAAATGGTGAAACCCCATCTCTACAAAAAAATACAAAATTAGCTGGGCTTGGTGGCATGTGCCTATAGTCCCAGCTACTCAGGAGGCTGAAATGAGAGAATCACCTGAGCCCAGGGAGGTTGAAGCTGCAGTAAGCCAGGATCACACCACTGCACTGCAGCCTGGGCAGCAGGAGTGAGACCCTGTCTCAAAAAAAAGGACCATCATATCATGCTTGTCTGTATGTCCCTTTGCCAACGGAATGCTATAAAAGTAAATAAAGTTTGTAAAACTGTAAGAGCAGAAACCAACTTAAAGGTATTTTCATAAGTAGTTATGTCCTGTCTTATGATGGAGTGATGAGATTGCCTTTACTGCTTCTTTGGACCTCTGTTTATTTTTTATTTCAATTTTTGTATTTATGTTGGGTACAAACACTTTTTGGTTACGTGGATGAATTGTATAGTGCCAAAGTCTGAAATTTTAGTGTACCCATCACCCAAGTAGTGTACATTATACCCATTGTGAAGCTTTGTATCCCACGCTCTCATCCCATTCTCTCTCTTCTAAGTCTCCAAAGTCTACTATATCATTCTGCCTTTATACCCATAGAGATGGGACATAGGGTATTTGGTTTTCCATTCCTGAGTTACTTCATTTAGAGCAGGGGTCCCCAAACTTTTTACACAGGGACCAGTTCACTGTCCCTCAGACCGTTGGAGGGCTGGACTATACAAGGTGTGACACCCTTCACAGCCAGCACTGCTGCCTCCACTATCCCAGACAGCGGTATGCAGTGTCACAGGCCCAGCACCACCTCCAGTGCTGTATACAGGGTGGCAGTGGTCAGCCTGTGACACTGTGTATACAGCGTCCTGGACATCTGCAGCAGCGGTGGGGCTCTTCTGTGGGAAGCCCACTGCTGCATGTTTCCCCTATTATAAGACACCTCCTAAAAATAAGACAGCTCCCGTCTTTTGGGGGTAAAATTAATATAAGAAAGGGTCTTATAATAGGGGAAACATGGTGTGTAGTAATGTGGGGGGAGACTTTTGGGCAAAGGGAGGTTATAGGGGCCATTATGTTGTACGTTTGGCGGAGTATGGGGACCATGGTACTGTGTAGTAATGGTTATAGTGCTTTGCCTTTCTTCCTACTTCTGCTGTTATTTCACACTGCTTCCGATGATGTGGGGCGCCACAACCGCAGACCGGATGTGCGTCATATGACGCGCTTCCTGAAGTGTGGTGGGGACCACATAAATGGCCTCAGGGGGCCACATGCGGCCCACGGGCCATAGTTTGGGGACCCCTGATTTAGAGTAATAGCCTCCAGTTCCATCCAAGTTGCTATAAAACACATTATTTCATTCTTTTTTTTACAGCTGAGTAGTATTTTTTTGGGGGGGGACAGAGTCTTGTTCTGTTGCCCAGGCTGGAGTACAGTGGTGCAATCTCAGCCCGCTGCAACCTCCACCTCCCAGGTTCAAGCGATTCTCCTGCCTCAGCCTCCTGAGTAGCTGGGATTACAGGTGCATGCCACCACGCTTGGCTAATTTTGTATTTTTAGTACAGACGAGGTTTCACCATGTTGATCAGGTTGGTCTCGAACTCCTGACCTCGTGATCACCTGCCTCGGCCTCCCAAAGTGCTGGGATTACAGGCGTGAGCCACCGCGCCGGCCAGCTGAACAGTATTCAGTGGTGTATATATACCACAGTGGTTGATGGGCACTTATGTTGGTTCCTTATCTTTGCAATTGTGAATTGTACTGCAATCAACATACATGTGCAGGTAACTTTTTGATGTAGTAACTTCTTTTCCTTTGGGTAGATATCCAGTAATGGGATTGCTGGATTGAATGATAAATCTACTTTTAGTTCTTTGAGAAATCTTCATACTACTTTCCAAAGAGGTTGTATTAATTTAAATTCCCACCAGCAGTATGTAAGTGTTCTATTTCACCACATCCATGCCAACGTTTTTTTATTTTTTTTTTTACTTTTTAATAGCGGCTATTCTGGCTGTGGTAAGGAGATACCTAACTGTAGTTTTAGTTTACATTTCCCTCATGATCAGTGATGTTGAGCATTTTTAAAATGCTTCTTGGCCATTTGTATCTTTTTTTTGAGAAGCGTTTATTCATGTCGTTTGCCCACTTTTTAAAGGTAATTTTTTTTTCTTTATGATTAGTGTGGATTCCTTATACATTGTGGAAATGATGGACTTCTGTTTTAACTGTTAAAAAAAATGTAGATGTTGATGCTAGAGGCTTGTTGTACCTCTAAAATATTTCAGTTGTAAGAAGTGACACTAATACTTTCTGATTGTTCTATTAAGCCATGTGATATTTCAACTTTTCTCCCAATTGGAAGGGGTATCACCTACTAAATAATTAGACTGGGACTTTGATTCCTGTAATTAATTTAGTAAGTATTTATTATATGTTATGAAAAAGTCACAAGCTAGAAATACTTAAAAGTCTCTAGTAATGAAAATTTCTTATATTAACCCCATTTTTAAGAACAGCCTTACATAAGAATGATGCAGTGGACTTTGGGGAGTCAGAGAAAAGGGTGGGAGGCGAGGGAGGGAGGGATAAAAGACTACACACTGGGTACAGTGCTTGTGTGATGAGTGCACCAGAATTTCAGAAATCACCACTAAAGAACATTCATGTAAGCAAACACTACCTCTTCCCCAAAAACCCATTGAAATGAAAAATAAGAAAATTTCTAATAACCAAAAAAAAAAAAAAAAAAAAAAAAGGAAGAGCAACCTTAACTCGTGTGAAATGCTGCTGTTGCTAGCATATGTCTAAGTAGTAGTCTTGCTAAATTGCCAACTGCAATGACTTTTGACACCAAATAGCTGGAGTTACCCGAAACATTGCAGGTTAAGGGTGCAGTCCTCCATAAAACTGCCCTCACTTCAGATACTAGCCACAGATTTGGGCATTCCTAGAGCCTCCTGTGCTTTTGACTAGCTGGCTGCAAATTTAGGGGCCCCTCAGTTTCAGTAATTTGCTAGAATGAATCACAGAACTCAAAACACTAGATTTGAAATGATGGTTTTCTTATAGCAACAAGATGCTAACCCAGATCAGCAGCAGGGAGAGATGCACAGCATGAGGTCTGATAGGCTCTCAGATGTAAAGCTTCTGTTGTCCTCTCCCTAGACAGTTAGGAGACGTCACCTTCCTGACATGTCAGTGTGTGACAATCAGTATTAGCAACCAGGGAAGCTCACCAAGGTTGGTGTCCATAGCTTTTATTGGGATTTCATTATGTAGGCATGGATTAAATCAGGCGTCCCCAAACTACGGCCTGCGGCATGCGGCCCCCTGAGGCCATTTATCCAGCCCCCTGCCGCACTTCAGGAAGGGGCACCTCTTTCATTGGTGGTCAGTGAGAGGAGCACAGTATGTGGCGGCCCTCCAACGGTCTGAGGGACAGTGAACTGGCCCCCTGTGTAAAAAGTTTGGGGATGCCTGGATTAAATCATCAGCCACGTGATTGAATTCAATCTCCAGCACCCCGCAGACTGACAGTGTGGCTCTAAACCCCAGCCCTCTAATCACACGGTGGATCTTTCTGGCACAGCCAATCCCCATTCCAAGTTACATCTTTAGCATAAACTGTCTAGGAGTGCACCATGAGTCTTCTCATTAGGGTAAACTATCAGGGCCCATAATGAATAACACAGATATTCTTAACAGGAGGGAAAGGAGTTGGAGGCTCCCTCCAGGAACCCCAGACAAACACAAGCCAAATGCTTTGTTACACAGAACTCTGACAAAGACAAATACACAGGACTGAAATGTCTTTCAGTTTCATCCAAGGGAAATTGGACTGCTCTTAGAATATGATGTACATGTTAATCTCTGGTGATGTTGCCTATTTTCCTCAACAGTAATGAGCCACTTCTCGTTTTTAAATATTTAGTAACCTTCTGATGCTACCCTATATGTCCATCCCCTACCCTTAAAAGAAACAGATTCTCCTTTTTGTTACTCATACAGCTTCAGTTTCTTAGTTGCAAACCCTAACTCTCTATGCACTTTCTCCTGTTAGTGCAACCTCTTTCTTCAAGTTATTGCCTTAATCTTTCTCCTTCCTAAAAGAATTTTCCCATGAATTTATTATGCCTAACTTTTCTTTCTTTTTTTTTTTTTATATACCTGCATAGTTTTGAGTGTTGGATTGTAGCACAATAAATGAAGAATCTAACATTGTTAATTATGCTTGATGGTTGATTGCCAAACTTTGATGCTATGTTTAGTAAGTCATTGTGCCATCTCAGCCAGTTTTTTTTTTTTTTTATTAGTCCTCTGTCTCTGAGAAGAACATTTTCAATATCAGTGCATTTCTATTACCAGTAAGTTGAGCCTTATTTTGTTGACTGATGTGCCAGGTGAGGTTGAAGGGCATAATTGAACAGAAAATCATTTAGGATCTCTTCTTCCCCCATTCTCCTAGCAAGGTTGAATGGGGAGTTAGCCTACTTACACCTTTTTAAGGCCAGTTTATGAGGTGATTAAGTTCAGATCAATGTGGGTTACATCATGAGAAAATTCTAAGACTTAGAATCAATGCACTGTTTTCTTCTGAAGAGCCTGTTCCTACTACATCTATCAGCCCAAGATCAATTTCTTGATCCCTGTCACTTTAATCTTGATTATTTTCTTTTATTTTAAGACTCCCAGATATATAACTGGCATTATTTCATTTGGTATTTAAAGTCATTTTAAATCTATAACTCATATTTCTGAATCTCTGAAGTATCTACTTAGGCCTTTTTTGTTATTTTATGTATAGTAGTAACAGAATTTTTGGCCAAGAATGATTACTAGACTAATATACTCTTTGTTAATGTAAGTGACACTATAAAATTCTAGCTATTTAAATGTCTTTGTTCTACATAATTTATTTTAATGAAATTATAAATAAAACCTTTTTGTTGACAAGGTAAATAAAGGTTTATTTATTGGCCTCTCAGTAACACCAGTGCTTGGCTCTCATCCTTTCCTGCTTTCCCTGGCTTGCTCGTTAAGATCAAAGACTGGCCTGACTTGCAGGTGTATTCATTCATTCGGACTAGAAGGATGCTAACTGAGGCAGGTGGAATTAAACCATAGCCTATGAACAGGGAACTTTACACACTAGGACTATCCGTAAACTAAATGCTCTTCTCCCGCCTCCCTCTCAGATCTCCTTTTCTTAATCATTTGAATTATAACAGTGGATTTTTTTTTTATTAGGTGATATTGAAGCAGCTTTTAATAACCTTCAGCATTGCTTAGAACACAATCCCTCTTATGCCGATGCTCATCTGCTGCTAGCTCAGGTTTACTTGTCTCAAGAAAAAATCAAATTGTGTTCTCAGTCTCTTGAACTTTGTCTGAGCTATGATTTTAAGGTAAGTATTCCAGATTGAAGTGGGTAAGACATATCATCCTCCTTGAAAGCTTACATATCCAAAAGTTTTGTGTTTTAGCCTGTAGCATTTTGCTGACAGTTGCATTTTTAAAGGACAAAAAATTGAACTCACAAGCAGTAGTAGGAAAAATTGAGGTAACTGAGGTATGGCTAAAAAACTATGCGGACTTGGTGACAAAAATCCTAAGGTTAATGTCTGGTCTTTAACTTCTCTCTGAACCTCAGTTTTCTTTTCTATAAAACTCATTTACTAACACTTTGATGTTACGATGAGAATTAAATGCAATAATGAAGGTACATAAAAATGATGATAAACAATAGATCATTATGTTATATTTTTATGCGTAAAGACAATCATTATGTTGTCTGTTTCTTTCTTGGACCTTAGTTTTTAATAACTTCTTTTTGGATTCATTGTGAAAGAACATCTCATGATTTTGAGAGTAACTGTGTTTTGAGGATGTAAACACAGTACATTTCTATCCAAGATGTTATGTGTTACATCCAGTATCCCATCAACATCAGGGAGGATCCTAGGTTCAGTTGCTTCCTTAACTACCTCGAGTCATGGAGGAACTCCTCAAGCTTTTGCTTTGCCTCACAGGGTCATGACCCCTGTTATGGAAGAACCCTTCATTGAATTAGAGAATTCAAATTAAGATTTGCAGAAAATTTCACTGCTTCTTAGGATAGTGGTTTTCAAGACTGGTAGTAAGTCAGAGCCCCAGTGCTAGTGCCCCACCTCTACTGAGTCAGAAATCTCTGAGGAAGGAGCATAAGGGTGAGTCTCACATGAAACTCTGTAGGCAAATGTTCAGGCTGCCTAAGGGTGAGAATCTCAGCATCAGGAGGATTATAGGTGCCACATGACCTCATTCTGAGTCGTCATCTTCCCTTTGACTTATTTTTCCCAACTGATTTTACCATTCTTTTGTTTTCTGTATATACTGTCAAGAGCCAGTGTAAGGATGACAGTTTCAGCACTACATATTTAAGAGGAGTGTCAAAGGGGGAAGTCAGTGTTTGATGAAAATGTCCCAAAGCTCTTAAAATTAAAAAAAAAATAAAGGGGAAAACCTCTGTTTCTAGAAATCTAATAATTTTATCAGTCCTAGAAATGCCAGATAAAGAAAATCCTTTCCCGAAAATTCGAATAATTTCTTAGAATGTATTTGCTAGCCTTACAAACCTTGTTTGCACTTTCTCTTCTGTCATAGCGGAAATACATAATCAACCTCTGTCATCTCAGAGGATGCAGGGAGAAGCAATTTTCCGGAATCCCATTTAATGTGATAAATTATCAGAGTGTTAATAAGAGGACAGAGATGGACCTCATGCATGCAAAGATGGGCTGTTCTCAGTGATCTCATTATTTTAATGTTTGATGGATTGTAAATTATGTGTTGATATTGTAGGCACTCCAAGGAAACATTATTAAATATTATTTTTCAGGTAAGAGAATATCCTTTATATCATTTGATAAAAGCTCAGTCACAGAAGAAAATGGGAGAAATAGCAGATGCAATTAAAACACTCCATATGGCAATGAGTTTACCAGGAATGAAAAGAATTGGAGCTTCCACAAAATCAAAAGACAGAAAAACTCAAGTTGATACAAGCCATCGTTTATCGATCTTTCTTGAACTGATAGAAGTTCACCGCTTAAATGGAGAGCAGGTAGGTCCAGTTTTAATTCAAGGGCTCAGATCAGAACTTTCTTATTCTAACATATATATTAGTAGCAAATGAAAAGCAAAATATATTCACTTGACCAAGTGATAAACTTTAGAAAAATTTATTTTTCATTACCTTGCAGTAAAATATGTACTTCCTGTAAGCCCCTGAGAGTTAAGCATAATTTGCTCCTAGGTGGCCCTAAGTATCAGTGTGCTCATGTTGGCTACAGTGGAACATATGATATGATGTACAACTCTCTTGGTTACCATGAAAGTAATAATGTAATGCAGTTATAATTCTATGAATCCCTAAAAGGATCTGCACACATAGACACAAACACACATTCATGCACACTCCAGAACTACTGAAATTAGAAGAAAGTACCAGCCTGAAATTCTAGTAGTTGAGGAAACAAAATAAATACTTGATAAATAAACCTTGGTAAACTCATAGGAATATTATTAAGATATTTTAAAAATAATAATATATACAGATTAGATAGAAAGTAATTCTGGGAGAATTAAAACCTTGTAGAAAATGAGGAACTTTAAGTCATTTATATTAGTTGTGTTAGGTTGAAACATTTGCTAATCACTTATTATTTTCATATTTTAATGAAAATTAAGAAGGGTGTATTTCTAAATATTTGCCAAATCACAAAGAATTTCCATTTATTTATTGGATTTTTTAGCAATAAGGTCTCACTCTGTGTCTTTGTCTGGAGTGCAGTGGTACAGTCATAGCTCACTGCAACCTCAAACTCCTGGGCCTAGGGGATTTTCCCACCTCAGTCTCTCAAGTAGCTGGGCCATGCCCAGCTAGTTTTTAAAATATTTTATAGAGGGTCTCTCTATGTGATGCAGGATGGTCTCAAACTCCTGGGTTTAAGCGGTCCACCCACCTCAGCCTACCAAGAGCTGGTATTACAGACCTGAGAGAATTTCTATTTTACTAATTAACTTAAAGTACATTTAACAAACAAGACCAATTATACCCTATAGAGTTGATTCTGAGTACATTTTTTTTTTTTACATTTTAACATTTCTGAAATTCTTATAATCTCTAAAGTTGAGATGAATCTTAAATGACATTTTAGATTCATCAAGGTACACATTTGGAAATGAGGTAGATTCACCTAAAGTATAACAACAATGTTGTTATGGTGGAGGGAATAAAATAATCTGCCACTTAATGAAGAGCCACTGTGTACAGCTATTCATTATACAGTGCAGGGGGCTAAGTAAGTGTTCATTAAATTGTAGTAGCAGTGACCCTGTGTAGCAGCTACTGCTGTTCTAGTTGTGAAAACATTTATCTAGCTAACCAGTATTTATAGCCTCATCTGATTTTGGTCATGGGTTTAGTTTTAAATTTTTATAGTTTTCAGGAAAATTCCAACAATTTATTTCATAAAGGTCATAACCTGTACTAGCATTTATTCATTCTGTGTTATTAGAAAATCTCCTTTTCTAGTGTTATTTGTTCACTGTTTTGGAAGAATGATATTTTAATTTCATCTTTACAGCATGAGGCAGCAAAAGTTTTACAAGATGCCATCCATGAATTTTCTGGAACATCTGAAGAAGTGCGTGTTACCATTGCTAATGCAGACCTGGCTCTGGCCCAAGGAGATACTGAGCGGGCTTTAAGCATCCTTCGAAATGTTACAGCCGAACAGCCTTATTTTATAGAGGCCAGAGAAAAAATGGCAGATATTTATCTGAAGCACAGAAAAGATAAAATGTTATATATCACTTGTTATAGGTAAATAATTGTCTCAACCCATTAAATTTTGACACTTTTAGCCATTCAAATTAATTCTTTTTTTTTTTTAACTTTCTGTCAACTGCTTTACAGATACTTTATAGATCTTTTTCTTAATGTGGTCTTGATTCCTTCTACCACCAACCACAGTCACTCTAACCAAGTTATTTGCTCTCCCTAAAACATAATTATGATTCCTTCAAACTGGCTTACTGTAGTTTCTCAGCTCTCTATCAAATATTATTTTTAGACCCTAGATCTTTGTGTTTGAGAAGGGAAAGAGTAATCTGTATTCTAAGAATTTAAGAGCGTCATGTAATCTAACAGTCATCCAGGGGATAAGCAGCAGGCATATTTATTACTCAATATAGTAATTGTAGCAAAAAACCAAAAAAGTTACTTTAGTATGTAGCATGCTAAGCTGTGGATTACAGACATTTCTTGGTGAAAGAGCATGACCTTAAAAGTATGTCACACTGGTGCCCTTATGAGTTACTGGAATACACAACGCTCACACACATACACACACACACACACACACACACACACAGAGAGAGAGAGAGAGAGAGAGAGAGAGAGAGAGAGAGAGAGAGAGATTGCTCTTACTCTTCTCCCCAAACAGAAAGGTAAACATAGAAGCATACACTCTATATAAGAGAAGATTAATGTTTTTAGTTCTTGAGAGCATAGTAAACTGTTGATGAAGTAATTCAGTATTGGTTCATCTATATTATATCAAAGTCAAAAAGCTGCTGAGATTCTTTTAAGTTCTGAGTGATTCAGAGAAACTGAGCAGTGCCTCGTGTTTAGACGGATGGACTGGAGTTCCTAGATTGTATTTTCTAAGGTATTTCCAAAAGATCATCACTGTCATCTCTAATGACAGGAAAATAATTCAAATAGGTTGATTTATTTTTGATGTACTATAATGTGGTAGTTTAAAGCATAGGTTTTGTTTCAGGAAGATATGGCACACCACCTGCAAATCTTCACATCATCTGTAAAATTGGGATACTAATTCTCAGTTTTTGGACCAATTAGGTGAAATAGTGTATGTTAAAGACTCAGCACTACATTGTTATTTCAATACTTTTGGAAATTTGACCTTTAGTAGTCCACGTTTTCAGATCAAGTGTAAGCAACAAATACTGAAATAGAAGACTTTGTATTTTTTTCAGGTAATTCATTTCAGCATATAATTTGTGCCGTGAGTATCAGAGCTCAAGATGCATAGGAGGACAGTAGAATTGTATTCCCCCATCATTTTTTTGATAACTTCACTCCCACATCATTTCAAAATTAAAGAGAGCAAAATGTCTAGGTCCAGATAAGGAAAACTTAAGATATTTACTATCTGCCTATATTCAGTTACCTGCATTTCAGAAAATAGAAGATTCAATGACAGAAATAACTGATCTAGCATAAACAATTTGGGTGTGGTTATGCAAGAGATTTTAATAATATTATTCTGTAAGATATGCAGAGATACTCGGAAGGCTACTGGCTAACCGAAATAAGCAAGCTCATTTTTATTTCATTTTATTTTTGGAAAAAGATACCTGTATTCAGTATACTAAGTAGAGTTGGTCTGATTTCCAGAGAAATTGCTGAAAGAATGCCCAACCCTCGGTCTTTTCTTCTCCTTGGTGATGCATACATGAATATTCTAGAGGTAAAACTTCTGATGTTACTGAACTTCAATTTTTAAAAAATTATTTGTGATGAGTAGAACTTTCTATTAAAAGGAGTTTTTTTTAAAAATAATGTTTAATATTTGAAGATCCAGTCATCACAATAAAAGAGGGAGATATCTGTTACAATTTTTAAAAATTGATTTTTTTTTTAAAGTTGAGATCCAGTTATTCAGCAGTATTGTTATTTGAAATAGAGATGAGGCTGGGGGCGGTGGCTCACACCTATAATCCCAGCACTTCTGGAGGCTGAAGTGGGTGGGTCACCTGAGGTTAGGAGTTTGAGACTAGCTTGGCCAACATGGCAAAACCCTGTCTCCACTGAAAATACAAAAATTAGCCGGGTGTGGTGGCAGGTGCCTGTAATCCCAGCTACTTGGAAGGCTGAGGCAGGAGAATTGCTTGAACCTGGGATGTGGAGGCTATAATGAGCTAAGATCACACCATTGCACTCTAGTCTGGGTAAAAGAGACTCTGCCAAAAAAAAAAAAAAAAAAAAAAAAAAAAAAGACACCAAAAGTATGTTGGGAGTATTCTTCTTTATACAGAAGGATAAAAGGAGCTACAGACTAAGGTGGTGTTTTCTTCAAAGGGAACCAATCCTCCAGTGCTCTATAATTGGCTGTTGTAATGACTTCTGGGAATGAAAAGTCAAATGGTGTCTCTTAGTTCACGTATTGTTATTTATATAGACAAGAACACAATTAATATGAGTAGAATTATACTAATAAATTATACCTATCTATACCTACTCTATTTATCACCTTTTTGAAATTGTTAAACTTCCTATGCTTCAGTATACACTTAATCTTATGTAATATTCCAAATGTAGAGCTTAATTATAGAAATGTTGCCCTTTAATTGGATCCAGTTATGCTTACTTTCTATTGCTTATTTTTTGTGTCTGGCAATATTAGCCTGAAGAAGCCATAGTAGCATATGAGCAAGCATTAAATCAGAACCCAAAAGATGGAACACTGGCAAGCAAAATGGGGAAAGCACTTATCAAAACTCACAACTACTCAATGGTAAGTTCTTTATATTTTGAAATATGTCTTTTGCATCAAATTTATCATACCCTGTTCTCGAGAAGCTTCAGCAGGCACCATTTGCATCTTTAATGGTTGTAAACTCCAAATCTGTATTTACGAACTGGGATTTCTTTGTTTTAAAGGCTTTCTCAGTATCTCAGATTCTTCATTGCTTCATTTTGTAGTGATTCTTTGGACCCTAGAGCTTACTTCAGGCTTCATCTTGTATCTAAAATGCTTGCTACCAGATCAGTTACCATAAAGTTGCTATTCTTACATCTCTTTTGTTATGTGACAAAACATATGATAAATGTTCTTTCTGTTGCATCAGTTTTTGCAAGCTGTGTGCTTTGAGTTTATTTTTTTTCCAGCAGGGAAAACAGATTTTTCTTTAACTGTTATATTCTTACCCTATTCCTGGTAATTGTTGACCATATGTACAAGAGTTAGCAAAATGTATGTCTTTGATAAGGTTCACTGGCCTCATAAAACCTGTAAAAAAAATCTCTGCCAAATACCATTCTTTAGCTACTTATTGCAAGAAACGTTAGTTGTTAGCCAGGTGCAGTGGCTCACGCCTATAATCCTAACTCTTTGGGAGGCCAGTACGGGTGAATCACTTGAGTTCAGGAGTTTGAAACCAGCCTGGCCAACATGGTGAAACCCCATCTCTACTAAAAATACAAAAAAATTAGCTGGGCGTGGTGGCAAGTACCTGTAATCCCAGCTACTTGGGAGTCTGAAGCAGATTGCTTGAACTTGGGAGGTGGAGGTTGCAGTGAGCCGAGATTGCACTACTGCACTCCAGCTGGGCCACAGAGTGAGACTTCTTTGACTCAAAAAAAAAAAAAAAAAAAAGAAGTGTTAGTTGTGTTGATCTAGTGTCTGAGAAGAATGGCATACTTAACTGACAGGCAGGTATATGCCTACAGTTCTTCCTCGTTATTTCTAGTTATACCTATGCTTTAAGTCTATAATGTGTACAGTAGCTGTGCTTGAACCCCATTCTCATTACCTTGTTCCCTTAAATGAAATGGATTTCATTTAGGCTATCAGTTACTATGAAGCTGCTCTGAAAAGTGGACAGAAGAATTATCTTTGCTATGATCTGGCTGAGCTCTTACTAAAATTGAAATGGTATGACAAAGCAGAAAAAGTTCTTCAACAAGCTCTGGCTCATGAACCTGGTATGAAAGTCTTTCTAGTTTGAAAAATGTTTGATAAGACTGATCCATTTTATTTTTATAATGCATAAATATATATTTGTATCCTCAATATTTTATATGCGGTTAGTTATATAAATACATGCATATTTTTTCATGTATCGGAATGCTACTCTACTAAAATGTGGCATTTTAAAATAGCAGCAGATTTATGAAACAGTTGAGTGTGTTATATTACTATAGCTTACTTTCCAAAATAATATGTTATCTTTAAATTGCAACTACCTCATATTTAAACACATTAACATTTTTGCAGTCTTTACTTTTTAAAAAAGTAGCACATTTCTTTTTTCAAATTCTAGCACTATAAAAGAATATAATGCGTAAGTCACTGTTTCTTCTATGAATTCCATTTGCCTTGTTCTCAAATTATCTCCCTAGTAATTTGTAATTTTATATAGTCTATATATGTGTATATATGTAAGTGTAATGTGATTTTCCTTTGTAAAACTGTGTTACTTTTTTTGTTCTGCAAATTTTTCCACATACAACATGTCTGAGATAGTTTGATGTTAGCATATCATGCATTTAATTTGCATTTCTTTGATGAGGGATAAGGTTAGGTATTATTTTGTTTATATATCTTATTTTACTCTAGGAATTTTTATTCATATTATTCTATCTACAGGCATCACAGTGTTCCATAACGCCAATAAATTAGTTAATTTTCTGGAAATTATTGAGTGTTTAATTTGCATTCCTTTGTTTTGATATTATAATCCATGTTACAATGAATATCATTGTATCATTCCTTAGTGTAGATTTGCATGTATTTCTTAGAATAGAATGCCGAGTTGAAGATTTTGTGCATTATAAAATTTGTTTGGATACCATCAAATTACCTTCATACAAGTTTGTAAAAATTTACTCTTTAAGGAACTTTGATTTTAAATAAAATCTAGTGATTGCCCATTGCCAGAATTTAAAGATTACAGCAGTGAATAAAAGTTATGTCCTCTCCCACTATCCAGAGAAAACGATATTTAACAGCTTGTATATCATGATAATCAGTTTCCCTGCCACCATCTTTGTCTCTCTCATGTATACACAATTATTATACCTACCACTTTTTTCTGTCTAAATGGATTATAATACAATTATATTCAGCAGTATGCATTTTTCACTTAATAACATCTTTCCTTGATAGAAATATAGCTTTTCTTTATTTTTTAGCATACGTAGAGTAGCCCACTGTATGTTTATAATCATAATTGATGTGATGAGTCACCTGTTGGAATAGACATTGAGATTTGGAATAGTTGGAAGCAATACTGAGATAAAATCCTTATGTATATATATACATATACCTCTCTATACTTCCTGGAATTAACTCTTGCTCCATTGTTCTTAAGACTAAAAACTTCCTGACATTATGTAGTGTTAGTCATGAAAAGTAAACTTATTTTAATTTGCATTTCTTTGATGAGTGATAAAGTTAGGTATTATTTTGTTTATAGATCTTATTTTCTTCTAAGAATTTTTAATTTGTATTCTTTGTCTTTAATCCTTTACCTGATACTCATATTATAGATATTTCCTCCCAGGCTGCCTTTTCTTTATCAGATTTGTTTATTGTATTTTTGATCAAGTAGAATATTTAATGATCATATATTATATCTGCTTGTCATGTCTTTTTTTAGGCTTCTGAATTTCTTGTCATTCTGAAAGACTTTCCCTAATCCTAACATTATAAAATTATTTCCATATATTTTTGGCATTTATGTTGTTTTAATTTTTATATTTAGAAGTTTAATCCATGTACTTTACTCCACATACAAGTTTTGCTATATAGTTTCCAAAATGGATAGCCAATTTTATTTTTGTGCCATTTCTGGAACTGCCTCCTTTATTTTATAATAAACTCCTTTATATACATTACTCTGATTATAGGAGTCTTTGTTTTATTCCATTATGTTTCTTTTCTTTTGCCAACACCATGTTTAGTGTAGCTTTAAAATACATTTGAACACATGATGAGAGAAGCCCTTGGTAAGTTTTCTGATATTTTCAAAATGGTCTTTCAGTTTAGCTTTGATGAAATTGGTGCTTAAAGTCTCCTAATTATAAATGTATTTATTGTATGAAGTGTTACTACTTCCATAAAAATATATGCATGGATTTGTCAGATCTTCTTTTGAAACACTCGAAAGGCCAAAATATGGATATACATTTTGGAACGTTTGTAGGCGGAGAGAGATTCAAGTATCATATGTTTTATTTACAGTGGGTATATTATATTTATGTAATATAAATGCTTTCATTTAATATTTGCCAAGCATACCCATGACACATTTAGAGGCCTTCAGATACATTTCATACATTATTTCATCAGGACTCATATTAATCTTTGAGGCAAATATGATCATACCCATTTGAAAATTAGCAATCTGAGACTCAGTTTTATTGATATGTCCAGGTCTACCTAGTTGGTAAAACGGCATCATGTGTCATGAACTATGCACTTGACAAATGGTAGAGGAAACATTTTTGTTAGTTATCTAGGGTCTTTTATTGTTCTTAGAACAAAATATTCAGCATTAACCAAATAATTAAATAGTACTTAACCATGTACCAGAGTTTGTTTTCATTACTTTGCATATTTTAACTTATTTAGTAACTTACTAGCTTTTAAAATCTTACATCCACCCTGTGAGGTAGGTACTAGTGTTTTTCCTATTTTACAGATGAAAGGGAAATATAGAATGGTTAAGTACCTTGCTCAAGATTAAATGTCTAGTAAGTGGTAAAGCCTAGATTTGAAACCATACTCTTTAACATCAAAGTCAGTGCTCTCAGTAACTATACTTTATTGCTTATTAAGTATCTATGATTGTTAAAAGAGCAGTTATCTTAATTGCATATAGCACCTACTCTTCTTTTAATGACTTTGGTAAACAAATTTTTTATACACTTAAGAATAAAAATGGAAATTACTGTGGTGTTTAATTATTATTTATGTATGTCTAAGAAAAGCCTCTAGTTGTTAACCAGTTCTTTAACTTTTCAGTCAGCTAGTTTTTATCCTAAATTTTTTTTTTTTTTTTTTTTGGCCATTCTTCAGTTCACTGAGAAATTTTTAACTTTATTCACTATTTTTCAAAACCATTTTTTTTTTCAGGAGACCAGTTTTTAAAATTCTAGGAAAATGTAAACATTTATTTAAGACGAATAATTTTTTTTTGTTACATTCCATTCTTTCATAGTAAATGAACTGTCAGCTCTCATGGAGGATGGACGTTGTCAAGTTCTTCTAGCAAAAGTTTATAGTAAAATGGAAAGACCTGGTGATGCAATCACGGCATTACAACAGGTAAACGCATTTGTTTGTGAGTGTGGTCATGAGGTAGGAGATGGATGCAGAAGGAAATAACACCATGTATAAGAGGAAAGCAATCTCTTTTGGCCAAACAGCTACAGAAAATATGTCAAAATCGAAATACATGTTGAATACTTATGGATTATACAGTTTAAATATATTATTACTACTATTATAACAATTAGGAAAGGTTGGTGTTTTTTAATCTTGTTTTATAGCTGAGGAGACTTGGTTAAATAACTTGTGTGAAGTCATATGACTAGCGTCATAATCAAGATTTGAACTTACTTAGTGCTTTCTCCCTCCATTTATTTAGATTTTTTTTTCTCTTAATATTTAGTGGTTCTCAACATAGAAGTTTTACACAGATTTCCTTAGATGTGTTCCCAAGTGACTGATTTTTTTTTTTTTTTTTAATGATGTTTCAGTTTCTGGTTTCTAACAACTTCTTTATAAGTGACTTAAGTATTATCAAATGTACTCTCTGCATCTATCAAGATGCTCATATGTCTTTTCTCTTATTTTTCTTTTTAAACATATATTTAATTGATTTATTTTCAAATGTTAGCCCACCCTTATATCCCTGAAATAAATGTCACTTTGATATAATTTTTAAAAAGATATTACTGGAATTTCAAGATGTTTTATAATATTTTGTTCAGGATTTCTACGTCTGTGTTCAACAAGTTGATGCTAATTTATTTATTTTTTCTTTTTGTTTTTTGAGATGGTGTTTCACTCTTGCCTCCCAGGCTGTAGTGCAGTGGTACAGTCTCAGCTCACTGCAATCTCTGCCTGCCAGGTTCAAGTGATTCTTTTGCCTCAGCCTCCCAAGCAGCTGAGATTACAGGCACCCACCACCATGCCCAGCTAATTTTTGGATTTTTAGTATTTTTAGCAGAGACTGAGTTTCACCATGTTGGTCAGGCTGGTCTCGAACTCCTGACCTCTAGTGATCCATCCCTATTGGCCTCCCAAAGTGCTGGGATTACAGGCATGAGCCATCACGCACAGCTGCTAATTCTTTAATGTTTGGAACAATTCAGGGTTGCAGACCTTGAGACTTCTTTGAAGGAAGGTTTTTATCTATGGATTCAACATCTTTAATAGATTTCAGACTGATCATTTTCAAATTGATTCTTATATCAATTTAGATTTTTTAAGTAGTTTATTGCTAAATTTATTAACATAAACTTATTAATTGTATCTTTACTTTTGAATGCTATAAATGTAGTGAAAAAGGTCCTTTTTCATAAACCTGATATTAGTAATTTTATTTTTCTTCTTTAATAATCAATTATGCTAGGGGTTTATTATCTTACTAATATTTCCAAAGAGTCAACTTTTTCCTTTTCTGGCTTCATTAAATGTTTATACCTCATAATTAATTTCTTCTACTTTCTTTGGGTTTGGTTTACTATTTTATTTTTTAGTCTCTTGAAATGGTATGTTAGGTAATGGATTTCAAGCTTTTCTTCTTTTTTTATTCTTTTGAAGCAATAAATTTTTCTCTCTCGACACTGGTTTATTAGCATTCCACAAGGTTATTATTATTTAGTGTAAAACATTTCATCATCTTCACTTTGATTGCTTCTTTGACCCATGGGTTATTTAAAAGTGTAGTATTCAATTTTTAAGGAGTTCTGATTTGCTTGCTATCTTTCTGATTCCGATTTCTAGCACACTTCCACTGTGCCAAGACATACTTTGAATGATTTCGTTCTTTGAAATTTGTTGAAGCTTGCTTTATACCCTACATTATAATCTTGGTAAACGTTCCATGTGGACTTGAAAAATGCGTTTCTTGCATTACTTTAACCACAATTACTCTTGCACCAACCTAATAAGTACTTAGTTCAACTATATGTTAATTAGGTCAGATTTGTTGATTGATTTTTCTGCATCTTCCTTGTTCTTAGGGTTTGACTGTTATTTATTTGTTTGCTTGGTTTTGGTCTATTTGTGTAATTTGCTATTAGGAGAGGAATATTAAAGTATTTCAGTGTTATTGTGTGTTGCTCTTTTTCCATTTAATTCTGTGTATTTTTCCTTCATTTATTTAGAGGATTCATTATTGAATGATCCAGATTTGGAATGGCAATATCTTCCTGGTGATTAAGTTCTTTATAATAATAAAATGGCCTTCTGCATTTCTAGTAATGCTTCTTGCTTTAAAATCTCCTTTGTCTTCTATTAATATAGCTAGCTCCAACTTCCTTTTAGTATTTGCATGATATATATCCTGCATTCTTGTACTTTCAGTTTTCCATGTCCTTGTGTTGATGATTGTCAGCATGTTGTTTTCTCTGACAATCTTAATCTATTATATTTTGTTAACATTTAATATGATTATAAATTGTTTAGATTTATATTTGCCATATATTTTATTTTTTAATTTTCTTGACTTTTATCTGAATTAGTTGCATTATTCTTATTCCATTTCGCCTTATTATTGTGTTATTTAAACCTCCTTTTATTGTTTTTCAGTGTTGTCTTCTTATTCAAATTCTACTCTACCTTTGCCTTTTCCATTATTGTTGTCCTGCATTTTAAATTAGTAGCTTGAAACTTTGTCTATAGGGAGCGCAATGTGATATATTTTATTTCAGTATCAGACAGTGGAAGATTTTTAAAGAAATATTTGAGGTTCTCCATCTCATTTAAGCAATTTTGCCTGTCTGCCTTATTCATTATGTGATGATTTTACAGCTTAATTCTGAGAGGGATAATCTCACTTTCCAAGTTCCCTGGAGACACTCAGTGTTCCCCAGATAAGATCTATAATATTGGTTTGTTTTGCAGTTGTCTAGTTTCTAGATAGAAAAATGAAATGGTATTTGCATCTTAATCATCACTTGCCTTCTTAATACTTTCTATTCTTTAAAAAAGACCTTCATTATTTTTATCTCATTCTGTTTATTCTGTGTCTGTGAGCTCCTGTGATATGTTGGAAGCAACAGGGCTCTGAGGTAAGCAAATAGTTTATATATGACTATGTTCGTTTTCCCATAAAGAGTATTTGTTCAAGATTATACAGTTGGTTACTAGAAGAGTTTGAAGTGGAATTCAGATGTCTCAGTCCTAACCCTTTGTGCTTTCCAGGATACTGTACTAGTCACTTGATTTTCATCTACCCAGAAGACTTGCGCATTCTGCAAATAATTTATAGTGTTTTGGTTTTGAGATTTAACTGACAGGTGTGTGTGTGTGTGTGTTTGTCTGTGTGTGTGTGTGTGTGTATGTATGTGTGCACATGTGCATGTGTGTGTGTGCTCACAGAAGTTTCAGTAGAATGTTCCCAAATTTTTTTGTTCTAGTTGTGAATGAACTGAGCTTGGATTATTAGATTTCTGTGATATCCATCTAAGTTTTTGATATCATTAAAATATGTAATCTTAAACAATATGAATGTCTTATCCTTAATTGTTGGTACCTTTTAGCCTTTATTTTCTGAATCACATGATAGAGAATTGCACCCAGCCCTAGGTTAGCTACCAGTAGCTACAAGGAAAGTGTAATCTTTGGTAAATGTAGACTTTTAAAACATTTTAGAAATAAATTTAGCTTACTTCACTCTTTTATGAGTATCATGAATCCCGGTCACCATGGTTGCATGAACCCCTGTGTTATAAAAGCAGATATATGAAGCAACACCAAAAAACAGCATGCCATGGCTAGACAATACCAGCACCCCAAACTGTAATCAGTTTTAAGTTTATATGTTATAGCACAGGGATTATTCATTTTTAATAAGGTTTAAAGAACTGTAACGTTCTTCCCAATGATAACATGCTGCATGTTTTTAATGACAAAGAGACAAATCTTAAGATGCAATTCAAACAGGAACTTACAAATGGAATCAAAGTTTTTGATATTTTATGTTCATTTATTCAGCAACCATTTATTGACCTTAGTTCTCCACATTATGTAACTTCTGCAAAGTTGCTGAATGTTTTTGGCAGTGACAGAAATGGTAAATTCAGGGAAATCCCAAGTCTTATGAATTTTGCTTTCTAAACATTTCAGACTTTTCCAACAACTCCGCATTTCAGTAGCCCCCTCTGTCATCGTAGAGCCCGCTCCATCGTTGTTTCTTGCTTATTCCTGCAGTAGCCTCCTGACTGATTCATCCTCCTCTAGGTCTTATTTTTCTCTAGTCAGTTCTTCACAGTGACGTCAGGGTGACGGTTTCCAAAGATAAACCTGATCCTGTCAGGCCAGTTCTTACAAACATGGTACGGTAGCTTCCCATGGCCTCTAGGATAAAATGTGGATTATTTTACAGGCTTACCTGTTATATATTCTCTATATCTTTCCAGCCATTTTTCTTCTAATTATTTGATCAAGCAATATATCCCTTATTCTCTTTCCTTCACATGTACTTCTTTTTTTTTTTTTTTTTTGAGACGGAGTTTCGCTCTTATTACCCAGGCTGGAGTGCAATGGCGCGATCTCGACTCACCGCAACCTCCGCCTCCTGGGTTCAAGCAATTCTCCCGCCTCAGCCTCCTGAGTAGCTGGGATTACAGGCACGTGCCACCATGCCCAGCTAATTTTTTGTATTTTTAGTAGAGACGGGGTTTCACCATGTTGACCAGAATGGTCTCGATCTCTTGACCTCGTGATCCACCCGCCTCGGCCTCCCAAAGTGCTGGGATTAGAGGCGTGAGCCACCGCACCCGGCCCACATGTACTTCTTAATGCCTATGAGCCATTCCATCTTTTGATCCTATTTCTTTCTCTCCAACTTATTGGGGTGTAACTCCTAGCCATTTTTTTTTTTTTTTTTGAGATGGAGTCTTGCTTTATCACCCAGGCTGAAGTGCAGTGGCACGATCTCGGCTCAGTGCAACCTCTGCCTCCTGGGTTCATGCAATTATCCTACCTCAGCCTCCCGAGGAGCTGGGATTACAGGTGCACATCATCACACCCAGCTAATTTTTTGTATTTTTAGTAGAGACGCAGTTTCACTATGTTGGCAAGACTGGTCTTGAACTCCTAACCTCATGATCTGCCTGCCTTGGCCTCCCAAAGTACTGGGATTACAGGTGCGAGCCACCACTCCTGGCTGGTACTGGCAATTCTTTAATTCTCACCTGACCTCCAAGACTGAGTTAGGTTTTCTATTATGTACTCCCATTGCAACAGTATTTTCCACTTACCTTACTGGAAAAGGGACAACTGTCCTCTGGGGGCAGTTTGCCAGGGGCCTCTGTTGCCAATATTTGTTTCTCTTTCTCTTTTGTTTTTACTTTCCTTCCCACACTTGCAATCTAGAGTTCAGGATGTAAAGCAGTATATGGCCATAATGATGGGACATCCCTAACAAAGTGCTAGGAGGCCACTATCTGAAAACTTGTGTCCTTGGCATAGTACCCTTACCCCTGAGGTGCTGGGGATGGGCCCCTGGGTCTTTCCCTGCTTTCTACTTTCTTGATGGCTAAGTAATGTCAAAGGAGGACATCTTGATGCGTAGAGGTGCAGTAATTCAGGGATGCAAGGATACCTTCCTGCAAGACAAGATCATCCTGCCTAAACCAATTGTTTTCAGGTTTTTTACTAGAAGCTACATGCATGAGTATGTGTATATGTATATATCTAAGTAAGAACATGAACAGATGTATGCATATGTATAACCCAAAACACACAAATGTACATATATTGACATACTTATATAAATACATATTAATATAACCAAAACAAAAATTTCATGAAACATTATTAATCTTAACCACATGCTGTAAACACTCATATTTTTCTTTCATTTGCAAAGGAATGCTGTATGACTCTCTAAACCTCTGGTTTGAGAAAACAAAACAAAGCCTGTTTCAAAGCAATTGTTAGCTATCATTTTGACAGGGGTCCCCAGAAGGACACCCTGTGTGTAGTATAATATATGGCACATGGTGTGCATTTACTATTTGTTAAAGGAATGCATTCATTAGCAAATGATTATGCATAGCTCAAACATAAATTTTATTCCTGAAGGCCTAAAACATGGGAGTTTTTACCGTTTATTAAAGGAAGATCTCAGTGTTCCAGTCATCAGATGGATGGGTAGAAAGGGTGATATTCCTCCAATTTGACAAACTACTTTACATTCTTAGCCTGAGGAAGGCCCTACCTCCTCTTACTTGTTTCACGGTTGTATTTCTTCCTTAGTGAACTTCCTGTATACATACTTGTAACAGTGGGAAAAGGCTCAGTAATTTCATAGTGTTTTGTTGGAAAGATATATGCATGCTGGCTCATTTGCAAACAAGTACATGCTCAATAAGACATTTTCCTTGGATCAGGCTTTATTAGATCAAGGGTTCATAATGTTTAAATAAATCTGTAAAATTATACTGTGTGTGAGTTACGGAGAATTTAATTTCCTTTCTTTATTCTTTTTTTTTTTTTTTTTTTAAATTCCCTTTATCCTTATTTTTTTTCTAGGCTCGAGAATTACAAGCTCGGGTACTAAAACGTGTTCAGATGGAACAGCCAGATGCAGTTCCTGCACAGAAACGTTTAGCAGCTGAAATTTGTGCAGAGATTGCAAAACATTCTGTTGTTCAGCGAGACTATGAAAAAGCAATTAAGTTTTATAGAGAGGCCCTGGTTCATTGTGAAACAGATAATAAGGTCAGTACCTTTATAAAATTTTAAGCACCTTTTATTCCAGATGTCCTCTGATTTTCTCAGATGTAAAATTTACCAGTTTATTTAATAAGAAGTGTTAGGCTGAGTATGGTGGCTCATGCCTGTAATCCCAGCACTTTGGGAGGCTGAGGTGGGTGGATCCTGAGGAGTTTGAGACCAGCCTGACCAACACGGTGAAGCCCCATCTTTACTAAAAATACAAAAATTAGCTGGGCATGGTGGTGGGTGCCTGTAATCCCACTACTCAGGAGGCTGAGGCAGGAGAATCGCTTGAACCCGGGAGGTGGAGGTTGCAGTGAGCTAAGATTGTGCCACTGCACTTCAGTCTGGGCAACAGAAAGAGATTCCATCTCAAAAAATAAAATTAAATTAAAAAATAAAAAGGTTTTAAAAGAAATGTAACAAAAATGCAAGTTAAAAGATTATTATTCCTCTAAAACTTTCAAAATCTTACATGATGCTTACTTTAAGAATATTAGAGTTTAAGGCTGGATGCAGAGGCTCATGCCTGTAATCCCAGCACTTTGAGAGGACAAGGCAGGCAGATCACTTGAGTCCAGAAGTTCAAGACCAGCTGAGGCAGCATGGCAAAACCGCACTCTACTAAAAAATACAAAAAATAACCAGGCATGGTGCCATGCACCTGTAGTTCCAGCTCCTCACAGGGCTGAGATGGGAGGATCACCTGAGCCCGGAAGGTCAAGGCTGCAGTGAAACATGATGTTGCCACTATACTACAGCCTGGGTAACAAAGCAAGACCCTGTCTCAAAAATAAAAAAGAAAAGCAAAAAAGGACATTAGAGTTTAACAATTGTAATGGAACAGGTAATATAAGCAACCCGAAAAATTGTTTTAATATTTATGTTTTTGATTATCAAAATAATTTAAATAATTTTCAAATTAATTTATCAAAATAAATAATTGTAAAATAAAATAATTTCTCAATCACAAATACCTGCATTTAGCCAATTCAGTTCCTTGTACTAAACAGCTGTTGTACACTCTGTATTTCAATTGATGTTTAGCGTTAGGATGCAAAAATGGCGAGACTGAATCTACGACCTCATATGGCACAGTGGGAGAATAAATGTAAAGATCATTTTGGTGTAGTGCCCTTACATGCATGACTGGCTATGTTAAAACTAAAATGTTTTTACTCTGTCAAGATCTGAGAAGATCTGGAAAAATGATTAATTTTTGAAAATAAGTAATGGCTGAACACTTAAGTAAGTGATGTTATACAAAAGGCAACTATACTCTAGAATTTAATGGCTCGTTTGAACATTTTTATTAATATAATTTTTTCAGATAAAGGGTACAAACAAACTTTAGCAAGGCATGACCAAACAGATACCTTTTTCAATGGTTGCTAAAGGGGTTGGAATCCTACTTTTAAATCTTAGGCATACCTTAGAGATTATCTGCTTGAAGCTTTTTATTTTACAAATGAGAAGGCAGATTAAGAGAGAGAGAAAGGACCTGACTTGGCCCCATCCTGGAGGAGCTGGGACTAGAATCCCATCTCCTAGTTTTAAGACCAGTGTTCTGTTCACAAGGCATTATGTCTTCTCTACTTTTGAAGTGAGTTGCTACCTGTTTTTCTGTTTTGTTTTGTTTTTTTTTCTAGTGTAAGAGAAAATACAGATGGGCATACCTATAGAGTGTGTGTTTGTGTGTGTGTGTGTTTTGTCTATTACACTTAACATTTTTATTGCAGTGACTTGTGGTCAACTAAAGTTTAATCTGTATCCACATATTTTCCTCATTCACTTTTAATTCTATGCAGTATCTGACAAGTCTAGTCTTTTGCTCTACAGATTATGCTGGAACTGGCACGATTATACCTGGCACAAGATGACCCTGATGCCTGCCTGCGGCAGTGTGCTGTGCTGCTTCAGAGTGACCAGGATAATGAAGCTGCCACCACGGTCAGTCCAAGGAACTTCAGTACAGTAAAAGCAGTTGTGTTTTATAAATTTTAAATTTTACCCTGCAGAACTACTACTAGAGGATGAGGCATGGCTCATGCTGGGTTTTAGAAGAAATCACATTTTTCTAACATTAGTGTATTTTACCAATAAAGACCCAGAATCATTAGGATTTTATTTATAAGAAAGATAACAAACCTATATCAGGCTTTTACATGCCCTTTTCGGTCTATTTAATTTTTATTTATGCCTAAGGGGATGCTTGGTTAGGTGGAGTTCACATGGTAACACTATAATTTGCTAAGAACTAACTTTTAAGTACTTACTTAGGAATGCTGGACGAATTTAAGAGTTTGGGTGGAATTTTTGCGGTTATAGGGGGAAAAAAAACTTCATGTATCAGTCTAAGATGGTCTGTTTTGATGAGAATTTTGATTTGTTTTTATTTTTACGTGGACTAAAATATTTGTCACTTTTGCAAACAGCTGCATGGATGACATTTTGTGAGGTTTATTCAAAGTTATTGCAGTTAAAAAGATATATACGAAGTCTGCATTTTAAAACATAAGAAAAATCTCAGTAGGTCTGCTCATTTTTAATTTTTCAAAATATTTATGATTTAAATTTTGTTTTGTTTTTGAGTCTTCTCATTATCATTTTAATCAGGTCCAGTGAGGTATCTTTTCTACAATAGCATGTAGAGTGTGCAGTTCCTTTCAAATTTCTGTTATTAAAACAACTGCTAGGAATATATTTTTTTGCTAAAAATACAATTCAGCAAGCAGAGCAATCTGCTTCACATCCTTGATTATCTTCTGTTAAACTGGTCTCCAAGCCTTTCTGCTCAAGGTGGGCTTGAACCTTAATGCCTTGTTTTTAAACAATGCTACCCCCTCCTCATGTTTATCATCTATATTTTTCTAGTGCTATGTCTTGATTGAAAGAATATGTTGTGTAAAATATGTGGCAGTATTTTTAGAACCAACTTTTATCTTTATAGATGATGGCCGATCTCATGTTCAGAAAACAAGACTACGAACAAGCAGTGTTCCATTTACAGCAGCTTTTAGAACGTAAGCCAGGTAAATACCCACTGATTTTATTTTTTCAGTGCAATCACCTCCCTTGCTCCTTTTTCTTCCGTAAACGGAAGAAAAAGGAGCAAGGAAGGTGCAGTAGACTCCGTCCTAGTTGAATCAGACTGCCTGCTTATTTCACACGTGGGCTTGGGTAGCTGAAATGGCTGTGAGGAAAATGCAACACTGTTTTCTGGTCTCATTTGAAATTATGAGCACAAACCTGGCAATCCTACTGTATATTCCAATAGTGCATTCATTGGGTTCTAACTACTTTTCCCACTTTCTCCTGTCCCCTCAAACTCCCAACACCCTTGCCCCGTTTCTTGTCCACAATTAAAAGCCTTGCCATCTACTTCACTAAGAGAATACGTGTACCTGAAAGAGAATTTCTCCATTCTTTGTCAGCAGATTTACCCATTCCTCAGTCTTTGTCCTCCCCAGGCCTATAATCCCACCCATGGCCAGCTTCTCACCTACCAAAGGGCTTGATTCCTATAGTTTTCTCTCTTGAATTATTTTTTTCTAATCAGCATATAACTGTGCTATGACATTTTCCTGCTCTAAATAAATCAGTCAGGAAAAATCAACTCTTAACTCTCGCCCCCTCCCAATTACTGTGCCCTTCCTCGGTTCTTCTCGACAACAAATTTTCTCTAAAGGATTTTGAAACATGCTGTCTTCATTTTGTTTCATCCACTGCTGCACTCCAGGGAGGTCGCTTCTACAGTGTGACCTCCATGCTGCCAGATCAGATTCAGTTCTCAGTTCTCTGCCGACTTGACCTGTCATCGTATTTGGCACAGTTTATCCTCATCCACGGTGAAAGACTTTCTTCATTTGTCTCTGAGATCCTACACTCACTCAGTTTTTCTTTTGCCCCATTGCCCACTGTCTTGGTCTGCTTTGTTGGAGCTCTCCTCTCTTTATGACCTTTAAATATCAGAACACTCTCAGCCTCAGTACCCAAACCTCTTTTCTTTTTACACATTCACACCATAGGTGACTTTGTCCAGGCACATGGCTTTATATCCCATGTGTGTGCTGATATGTCCTAAACATTTACCTGCAGGCTTTACTCATGTACACCTCTGCCTCTTTGCATTCCCACTCAGACGTCTAGGAGTATCTCAAGCTTATAATGTCCAAAATAGAACACCTGATCTTTACCTCCCTCTAAGTTTGCCCCACCCCGACCTCTTACCTGACTGGCATCACTGCTCACTGTTATGCCAGCCCAGACCTCACAGTTAACCTTTGTCTCACCTTTCTCTCATATATCACCTCCAGTCTATCAGCAAACCTTTGCTAGTGCTACATTCAAAGTATACCTAGAATGCCATCCCTTTTTACCACCACCGTTACTGCCACCCTGGTTTAAGCCATTGCCATTTTCCACGTTGATTATTACAGCATTGTCATAACTCATTTCTGTTTCCATCCCTAGCCTCCAAAGAGTTTAGAAATGCTTTCATTGAAAGTGGCAGAGATACCCCTGAAAATTTTAGGCTAAAAAAGCATGGCTTTTTATTTTCTCTTCTGTAAAAGAAATCTAAAAGTATACCGTGTAGGGACTGGCATGGGAGTTGCACCATATCATCAAGAAACCAGAGCCCTCTCTCTTTTTGTTCCACATCGTTGCCCTGACTTGCCTGAGCATTACCTCATGGTCCAAGATGACCATGGCAGTGCTGGGCATCATTGTTCCAGGGCCCAGATGGGGAAGGTGGGTGCAGAGCTGGGCTAAAGGGCTTACCAACCAGCAAATCACCTTTTTATTAAAAACAAAAAACAACAACAAAAAATCCCTCAGTAGTATCACCTTTGTGGCTGCACAAGAAGGTGGAAAATGTTATCTTTTAGCGAAATCTAATGTCCTATAGAAGAGTTATCAGAAAAGGGACAATAGAAACGAGGTAGGCAACCCTCCAAGCCAATTACAGCCTTGAGCCTTTTGTGCTGTTTCCACTTCCTGAAATATGCTCCTCCCAAAGGTCCATCTGGCTGCTGCCTCATTTTCTTTGGGATCTTTGCTCCAGTGCTACTTCTTCCTTAGAGTGCCCTTCCCCGACTGGCCTACATCGAGTAGCACCACTTCTTGCTCTCCATCCTTTTATCCTGTTTTCTGTGTAGTTGGATTTTTGGGGTTTGGCTTTTTTTTTAATGATTTTTGGGGTTTATGTAGCCCTTGTGAAACAAAACCAAAAAACTACAAATCATAGAACAGAAGCTTCAAGTGACCAGAAACTTTGCCCTTCATTGCTGTTTCCAGAATTTAGAAGGGTATCTAGCTTAGTTGGTACTCAACAAATATTGGATGGAAAGAAGAGTGAGGGAGAAAAGGAAGAAAGGGAAGCAGGGAGGGAGGAGAGAAAGAGGAAAAGAAAGAGGTGGGAACTGTTTGACTAACAGGTAGTGTATATTACTACCTGTGTTAACTAAAAAGAGTTTGACTGGCAGGGGAAATCCTAGAGCTGTGCTTCAGTTCTTCTAAACCTTCCTCTCAGGCTGATGCCCTAGGCGATCAGAGCTGCCTGGTTAAAGCTGCGGAGCCACAGGTGTCAGTCCTTCAAGCAGGGCCACTCAAAGAACTAGATGTGCTCTACATGCTACCTCTACTGATGCTTTCAATAAAAAGAAGTTTGAATTCAGAAAACATCAGTTGGTACATACAAATAAGATATCCCAACTTAGTACAAAAATTGAAAAAAAAAATATGGTCTATTTTACAGTAATATCAAAAATTTAATTTCTCTTTATTATTTTACTATTTTTTTTTCCACCTTGGAACTACCACAAGCCATTTCATTGGTTTTTTTGCCCTTTCTTTTCCAGAGTATACTCAGACGTTACTTAAAAGAATGCTGTGAAAAAACTTGACTGTTTTACCTCTTCAACTCACCCTGGGTCCAAAATATGGGCTCATCTTGCCACCCACATTGCCCAGACCTGTTTTTATTTTCTTCAGCCTTGTATCATTTTTTTTCCTTCCATTTCTACCTGTGTTCCACACTGTTATCTCTTATTCCTCTTCTCTAAACTACCAGTTGAAAGTAAAATACATAATACTTTCATTCTGTCCCAAGCTGTTCCCATTTCATAGTCTTTCCCTTTGAGACAATGATCTAACTGTATTTCTTTAAAAAACAGACTTCTTCCATTATGAATATTAAAGATATTATCATTTTCTAGGATTTGAAGGATCTCACCCATTATAGTTTTCTAAGATTTGAAGAAGCCTTCTTGTGGGTTTTGTTTCACCTAAGTTTCTGTTACTTGGCAGCAGCCCTTTTCCCAAAAAAGTTGGCTTAGTAGACTTACTGCTTTGGACTGTTTGTAAACAAATATAAAAGCAATTATTTATAAATACAATATAAGGATCATGTATTCCAGCAACACCAAATGACATACAGCCACATGTCCAAGAATTTGCTTAGGGTTTTTCCTTTGGCCTAAAAAGAACTTTAGCTGCCTTATCTCTTTTCCCCTTTTCTCTTTCCAAACACATAATCTAAAATATATCCCTCTTGGGGAGGGGGCGGAAAGCAAATCTGCATCCCTATGCCACCACCTACGTTTAAAAATGTCTTATGGGATGGCTGGGTAGCATGACCAACCATCCTAGATTTGCCTTGGACTGAAAGGTTTTCCTGGTTACAGGACTTCTCATACTAACACAAAGTCCCAGGCAAACTGCAATGAGTTGGTAACCTTGATCCTGGGTGACTTTGTCCATACATCTTTATTACTTATAGTATCTTGCTAAAAATATGTATGTGCATATTTGTGTTCTTTATTACACTGTAGACTCCTCAAGTTCAGGGATCACACCATATTTATCTTTTATTCCCAATATCAGACAAAATGCTGGGCGCATGGATGTGGCAACATAGATGTTTATTGGTTGAATGGATCAATCATTCACTAATGACCGTAAAACACCAAGTCAATTAAAAATACAGCAGAAGAATCACTTGAACCCAGGAGGCAGAGGTTGCAGTGAGCCAAGATCGCGCCACTGCACTCCAGCCTGGGTGACAGGATGAGACTCGTTCTCAGAAAAACCCACAAAGTTTTAAGTAAATTTTTATGATCTTTATACTATTTTTAATCTTGTGTTGTGTGCTTTATTCTTACTAGTACTTTGTATACTTATCCACAGATCTATTTTGTTGGAATTATCCTAAAACATATGTATCTACATTAATTTTATGTGTAATGTTATTGATTATCCTCAGTAACTCATCTTATACTTTAGATTAAGACTCTGTTTTAGCTTATTTCAGAAACTGACTGTACAAATTTGACTTAATTTAACTAGTTGAAAAATTCGTCTTCTAGATCTAATTACAATCATGACAGATTGCCCCTTTTCTCTCTCAGAATCTCCAATCGCCTTGAACTTTCCCCTTTCTTCATACTAATTGGTTAACATGTTTCATCAGTTCCCGTTTGCTTGGTAGTTAGGTAACACATCCAGTCTGTCATATCCTAACCCACTGCTCTAATGAAGACCCATATCACCTCTCATCTGAATTAGTGCAGATTCCCAACTCATCTTCCAGTCTCTAGGCTCTGGCTGCTCTGGGCCATTATAGGACTGTTATCAGTTCTAAAAATCAAAAGCTATTCGTTTGCTTAAAATTTAGGAGAGTGCTTCAGGATAAAGTCTAAAATCATAGCATTATCTTAATAATAATGTGGCCCAAAATTATTTGGCCATTTCTATTTCCTATCCCTCTTCCTTTAATGATATCAAAGTTACCAACATTCCCCACACTGTTCTTCTCTTCTCCCTTGGAGCATGCTTTCTGCTACTTGGAATGCCTTGTCTGTCTAGTAAGTTCTTTCTCATATCCTTGAGGCTTCCCAAAGGTCAGCTCCTATGAGAAATTTCCCAGCTCCCCCAGGCAAAGTTAGGAATCCTGTGCTTTGTAATACCGTGGCAGTGCATGTTGCCATATCTCATTACCCTGTGACTATTTTCATATCTTCCTAGTATTCATCAGTAAAGATGGACCAGCTAAGTTTTTTAGAGGGTAACATACGTTTTAGTTTTTACTGGATTTGTTGCAGAAATTTGCCTTCTATCAAATTTCCTGGTTAACTAAAAGACAAGTGAATGTAATTTAATCTATCAAGGATAATTATAACTTTAAGTAATAGCAAATACATTTCAATATTGTATAAGGGTAGAAATTTTCAAGAACTTGTCTTCCCAATGTTGGCAATACTAGCAGTATCATACAAAAAAATTTTAGCTGGAAATTTTAACCTTTGGTTCTTGCTTAATCCAATACGGCTTCCAGATGCTGATGTTTTATTATGGAGTAGTTACTCTATTTCTTATCAAAATTTTTGGAGGTATAAATATTATTAACAACATTTATAATTTATAAATATTTTTCATGCCTTTATTTCTGTAGCACAACTATAGTCAATATTATAATCATATTTTAGGAAAATAAGTATGTTGGACTCAAATAATTTGCATAATTTGCTTGAATTCACATAGCTAAAGGAAAAGACCAATATTTGAATTGTCTTTTTCTGAAACCATATTCTTATTTTGCCCTTTTTAGTGATGCTAAAAGGAGTGATAAAATCTCTCTCTGGACTCAAGATTATGTGTCAAGGGGACAAATGATATTTATATCAACCTGTATTATTTTGACATTCTGTAATTGAGTAGATACAATGTTTCCAGAGGTTCTTTTTTTTTTTTATAAAAATAATATTTTGTATTGTGGTGCAATATATGTAACACACAATTCATCATCTTCACCATTTTTAAGTGTACAATTCAGTGGCATTAAATGCATTCACATTGTTGTGTAAGTCATCACCATTATCCATCTCCAAAACTTTTTCACCATTCCAAACTGTAAATCTGTATGCCAGTTCCTCATTCCTCTCCCCTGAGCCCCTGGAAGCCATCATTTTACTTTCTATGTTTATGAATTTGACTATTCTAGGCTCCTTGTATAAGTGATATCACAACATTTGTCTTTTCTGTCTGGCTTATTTCATTTGGTGTAGTGTCTTCACAATTCATCCATGTTATAGTGTATGTCAAAATTTCCTTCTTTTTTATGGATGACATACAACATACAACATTCCTCTGTATGTATGTACTACATTTTGGTTATCCATTCAACTGCAATGAACATGTGGATGCTTTCCACTTTCTGTCTATTGTGAAGGTCACTGCTATGAACGTTGGTGAACAAATATCTGTTTGAGTTTCTGCTTTTAATCATTTGTGTATATACTCAGAAAAATTGCTGAATTATATTGTTATCTTCTCTTTTCAAATAGCAAAATGGAGTCAAGGATAAATAGCTTTAAAGCAAGCTTCTGTTTGTTTTAATTGTAGAAATTCAACCTAAGAACATGTTCAGAATAGCTAATGTAAAGTTTTTTACAAGTCCTCTACAAATCCCTAGTCCTGTGCTAACTGAAACTTTAGCACCCAAACATCTAAAGACACCACTATAAAGAAATAAATCATGTGAATCATCAGTAAATAAACCATTAAGCAAGCATTAAAAGTCATGTTTTGGAAGATTATTTAATGACAGTTGGGAAATGTTTACTGTTTAATGCTCATCAAAATCAACATTAAAACCAGTCAAAACCAATCAAAGACAAAGCCCCAAGTGTGACTCCAATTTTGTATGTGAACAGATGTTGATTTTGTATGAATGTAAACAAAGAAATACATATCTTTGCTTACATTTATATATAGGTTGGTTTTCAAATATTGAAAGAAAACACACTAAAATGTGCTACTCTAGCTGGAAATACGAATGATTTTTTTTCTTGATACTTTTTATATTTTTTCTTATTTTTTTATAGTGTCTATACATTATTTTTATAGTCCTAAAAATATTTATTAAATTATTCTCAAAGGTTATTATGTTAGTGATGAGAGAACTAGATAGAATTGGGAGAAGACTTTCTAGGAACCTGCCAGGAAATTACTCCTGAGATCAAAGAAATAAATTAACTGTATTTTTCTTAGAAGAAGGTGAAATAGAATTAAAATATGGGGACTAATATGCTAAGGTTCTAGTATGGTAAGCTAGCATATGGTATGTTAGCTACATATACATATCAAAGAGAGACTGGAGACAAATTTCTTATTGCCCACCCCATACATTATTTATCAACTGTACTGTTCCCACATCCTTCCTAGCAACAGTAAGTAGAAGAGGGGTTCTCAGAGACAGGCGGTGAACTTGCCCTGTGTAATTAAATCAGTATTCCTGAACTCTACAGTTGAAAGTCTAGATTACCTAGGTAGAGGCTATTTCTCTAAGGCTTTGGTCCCCAAAACAATAGAAAAGTTACAAGAAATATGCATTTGTCTAGATTTGCCTATTTAGAACCTTATCTCCCTGTGCCCAGCCCAGACTACATGATTTAGTAGATCATCTAGTTGGCCATACCGTCTCTTTAGGGACTTATACCCTGAGACATTCTGTTACTTTTATTTAAAAATCTACTTTGTGTGAAGTAAATTATACTTTAATGAAGTAGAATTATAACCAACAAAACAAACAGTTTAAAATGTTCCCCATATCTGAAGTATTATTTGTTTCTAGATAATTATATGACATTATCTCGTTTGATTGATCTCCTAAGAAGATGTGGAAAACTTGAGGATGTCCCAAGATTTTTCTCAATGGCTGAGAAATGTAACTCCAGAGTGAAATTGGAGCCAGGATTTCAGTATTGTAAAGGACTATATCTTTGGTAAATCTGTTGACAAATAAATGCTACCTATTTTTTTTTCCTCATTGTAAATCAAGTAGAATAAGCTTTTCTTTGTTGTTAAAAAAAAAAAAAGTGCATTTCAAAATAGTTTAGTTTTATTTACCAGACCAGATTATAAACTAATATAAATCTTGTAGTCAATGATTGAAATAAATAATTCTTTTAAACATCTAACAAGGTACACTGGAGAACCAAATGATGCCCTTCGACATTTTAATAAAGCTCGGAAAGATAGTGACTGGGGCCAAAATGCCCTTTACAATATGATAGAAATCTGTTTGAATCCGGATAATGAAACAATTGGAGGTGAAGTATTTGAAAATCTGGATGGAGACCTGGGGTGAGTTATTTGACACATTATCCATTTTTAAAAATACTTGTTGGAGATAATAAACAGGGATACTTTACCAAAGAACTAAATTCTAGGATAGCAATAATGAGTGGCCAAATGAATAAATTAAATAAATAGGCATTTCATTACCTGTTTCTGAGAAGAGTTATTTTGACAAATTAAATAGTTATTCAATAGAATCGTTATTGTGGTATTCTCTGAAATGGGCATGAAATGCTTTAAGATTTCCTAAAATATAATAGACATGCTGTGAAGACACTCACCTAATTATACAATTTGACAACTCTGGTAAAAATTATCCACACAATAATAGTAACTACTTAGCAAATGGTAATTTTCCAGACCCTGTCCTCTGTACTTCCCATGCACTATCTCATTCGTTTTCTACCACAGTGTTGCAAAGTAAGCTGAGTCAACTTGTTTAATGTGATAGTAATGATGGAGTCGAGATTTAGACTGAGTCCTGACTACTGTTAAGCAGTGTGGTATACTGCTAGTAAACGGTTATATATCAACCTGCATTAGTAGCCTGTCCTCTCTTCAGATGCAGGCAAGGAATGTGGGGGATGTGTTGGGATGTAAAGGGAATGTAAGAGGTAGTTCCTGCCTTCAAGAGCCTGTAATTTACTTAAGAGGCAATGCAATACCTGAAACCTTTGCATCTGCAACTAAACAGAAATGGATTTAAATGGATATTAACTATTGTTGGAGTTCATAGGAATAATAGCAGTACAGAGTATTCAGGGGAAGATGCGTGGAGGAGCAGGAGAAAATTAGCACTAGATTGCTGAGAGGTTTCAGTGACAGATTTTAAGGGCTGGATTACAGAAACCACTGAAAGTTTTAGAGCAAGAAAGTGGCATGTTTATGGTTGTTTTACGAAGATTGAGATAACATTACTGTTGTGGAACTATAAGCTATCCAAGGAGAAATCTGCAGGCAATTCAAAATGCAAAACCAAAACTCAGAAGAGGGGTCACAGCTAGGGATAGAGATTTGGGAGACATCTGCAGAGTGCATAGTTGGAATTCCATAAATGGCCTCTTTGAGAGTAGAGTATAGTAACACAAGCCTGAGAACTAAATTTTAAGCTTGCTAACATTTAAGGGGTCTGGAAGGAGGAAGGAAGGTCACAAAAGGGCAATCAGTATGGTAGAAAAAGAACTAAAGCCATGTCGTGTTACAGAAGCCAAGGGAGAAGAACTTTGAAAATGGTAGTCAACAGTGTGACATGTTTCAGGCAAGATAAGCTTAAGGCCTGAGCAGAAGACCAGTGGCTTTAGGGATTGGACTTTGAGTGTTTCATTTCCTTTTATTAATTGATGTATATGTATTTATGTGTGTGTGTGTGTGTGTGTGTATAAAACAAGAAAGTTGCTATTAAACATTAAAATTGCACTTGGAATTACTTTTTTGACACGCATGTAATTTATGAGATTCTAATAGACAACATGGTGAGGAGAATAGAGTAGAGTTTATATGTCTGATAAACTTAGATTCAGGTCCTAGGTTTACCATTTATTAGTGATACGACCTTTAGCAAATCACTTTACCTATTTGAACCTTAGTTTTCCTGTATCTAAAATGGATTAAACATAGATAGAATGAAATCCTATGGTAATTGCCACTTTTTCCTCCCCCTTCTCTTTCCTTTCCCTTTTTGAATAGATACATGTTAATTTTGTGATTCTACTTGAATTCTAGCTTTATGTTTGCTGGAGTGCACACATTTACGACATGTAGATATTGTCAAATTTTTGTCTTCATTCTAGAGGAAATTAATGCTTACTGGTGTTTTATTGAGTCCGTATTAATTTTGTTTAAAATGCATTGTAACTGTGCTTCACTTTGTATTAGAAGAGAATGAGTGACATTCTTCACAAAAGATTACCTTTAAATGAGTGGCAAAGCGTACGAAGAGTGCCCAGAGCTTTTGTGTACAAAAGCTCTGATTCTAATTTCAATGAGTTGTATCATGAGTAAGAGATATAAGTGATTTATTTTTAATTGTATACAGTAATTCAACTGAGAGGCAAGAATCTGTCCAATTGGCAGTGAGAACAGCAGAAAAACTTCTTAAGGAACTAAAACCTCAGACTGTTCAGGGTCAAGTACAGCTTCGCGTAATGGAAAACTATTGCTTAATGGCTACCAAACAGAAATCTAATGTTGAACAAGCATTAAATACCTTCACTGAAATAGCAGCATCTGAGGTTAGTGGGTTTTCCATTTCAGCTTCATATGTTATCTTTCATTGGTAGTATAGAAACATGATTTTGATTAGTTATTTATTTTTAGGAGATTTACTTTTATTAAAAATTAGGTATGTAGTTTAGCATACACAATGTCTTCTTTGCAGAAGAGACAGTGTTACTGTTTTGAAATGTTATTAATATGTTTCTCTCTACTGGAATGTTAAATTCTAGAGAAAGGAAATTCTTCAAAAGTGCATAAGTTAATTCTCAAGGGAGCCACTTTGTCCTCTGGAGAATTTCTGTATTGTAGATGTAGCCAAGATTAACTTACTAAGTGGAAATAAACACCTGGCTGCCCTGATATCTTACCTCTTCACTTAGGTGAACTTGAAAATTTTCCAGCTGTATAGCTGCATGAGATCATACTGACAGCTTATAATTTAGTCATACAAATAATGATATTCTTTAGCAACACTGAAATAACTTCCTGCAATCTTTTCATTGTTATTTTCACAGTATTATTCTTAGAAAATCAGAGACTTTTTTCTCTTTTCACTGTGCTTTAATCCACCTTTTCTCTCTTTTTTTGAGACAGAGTTTCACTCTTGTCGCCCAGGCCAGAGTGAGTGCAGTGGTGCAATCTTGGCTCACTGCAACCTCCACCTTCTGGGTTCAAGAAATTCTCCTGTCTCAGCCTCCCAAGCAGCTGGAATGACAGACGCCTGCCTACACACTCAGCTATTTTTGTGTTTTTAGTAGAAGCGAGATTTTACCATGTTGGCCAGGCTGGTCTCAAACTCGTGACCAGGTGATCCTCCTGCCTCGGCCTCCTCCACCTTTTTTCTTACTCTCTATATATTGTTTTTCCTTCCCTCACACAGCACTTTACTTCTTCAATTACTTGATATTAAGAAGGAATTCTAGGTACCCTCTCATCAGCAGTTGGTTATAGTTACTAACTAAGCATGCTTATTGGATTTCATGTTTGTTCTTCCATTCGATGATGCCGTAGGCCACCAAAAACTCATCATTTTGTGTCTCTCAAAGGTCATACAGAATTTTGCGGTGATTTCTTGTGGTTCGAAAGTCATAGTGGCAGCGATAAACTACCCAAAGCCCCGTGCAGTGATCTCTTTCCCCCAACCTTCCAGGGCCCTAGAGGAGATTGAGATGTCAGGGGTTTGGAAGACCTGCAACTCTTGTTGTGGCTTGGGTACAAGTATCCTAAATAGCAGCTTTATTACCACGCTTGGAACAAAACAGCAGGGCAGCATGGCAGCGGCAAGCCTCCAAAGCAAGGCCCTTCTGCAGACATTGAAGTAATGTGCTCATGGGTCGTGCTCTGTTGAATTGGCTTTGTGGAGCAGATGGATGACAGCTGCTGAATGAAGGGAGAGCAGAAGTAGGGCAATCATGTATGTCTAAGAGAATCTCTAGGAACATGGGGAAGCACAGTCTCACGTCAGGTGCCATAGCTACTGAATGCTGTGATGTGCTACTCTGTCTCATAACAATGAGAAAGTTTATTTTGAGTAAATCCATTATTCCCACTGTGAAGTTTAAGAGGTAAAAAAAAGCCAAAAGCAGTGAACGATATTATAGCTGTTTCCTAGAAAGACTATGCCTGCTGTCTGCTGATGAGACTGCATTTTTTTTTGTCATCCTTACATATGTGGTTAGTAAAATACTATCTGCAAATCTGTCTACTAACCATATTATTCAAATGATGATGTATGGGCTGAAGTTTCATAAGCATCAAATTTTATCTCACATTATTTTCTTTTAACTCATAGGCTGCATATATTCAATATAATGAATATTCATTAAGCAGCCAATGGGTGCTAAGCATAGTGGGAAACACAAAAATAAATATTGTATGCTTCCTTTTTTCAAGTTTATCATAGTCTACAGAAGACGAGACAAGCATACTGACTATGATGACTGTAATACAAAGCAAAATGTATTACATTCTATACCAGAATTGCAAATAAAAATGCTGTCGGAGACAGTATAAGGAGAGTTGGGAGACCCTTATGTGAAGAAGGTATGATTTAAGAAAAAATAGGATTTAAGAAACAGGTATGATTGAAGAGCCAAGATAAATTGCATTTTAACAGGCAGAAATGGGGACAATGTGTTCTAGAGAAAGAGGAAAACGTGAACAAAGTCAGGGAGGCAGAAAAACACAGGGTATGTTCACAATCCTCTGTGTCATTCAGAAGGACTGAAAAAGAAGTATGTGACAGGAAATTGTGGAGGAAATGGTGGAAGATACACTAAGCCCAAGCCAAAGTGTTTCCACTTGCTTTCATTGCCCCACCTTGAACCATAAAGATGAGATGTTTATAATAAAGCTGTGTTGTCCACACCTGAATCTTGTCCTTTGCAGTCTAAAGTGACTGCAGTTTAGAGTTATTGAGAGTCAGAGAAGCTGGCTGTACCGGAAAAAAGACCTAAAGCAGGGATTAGAACTCAGGTTTGCTTTTGGAAACTGTTCTTCAGTTCACTCAGTAGTGATCAAGTTGTGAAGAACTGATACATTCTAATCAAACTCAAAGTGTGTGATTTTAAAGTCAGAGAGGTTATTCTTAATTGTGTAGTGTAGGGTATTTTTTTGCATGTGAATGAATGTGGGTCCTTTTCATAGGATCATCCTCTTAGGCTGTACTAGGACCTGGCTGACAAATACATAGCAGACTTCTACTTTCTCTCCTCCCCTGCCCACCTGAGGTGGGCTGAGGTGGGGTGAAAGTTAGGCTCAATAATTAGTAACATCCCACAGATCTTCATAATCTACAACCAATTAATTGGATTTGACATTCAAATCAACTGTTTTGCCACTTCTTACCTAGAGGAACAGATTACATCTTGGAAGTTTACTGATAGACATAGAAATTGAGGCAAGCAAGTTTTTATATTTCTGAAAACTGTTTCCATAAAACCCTGATTTATTGCCCTTCTCTATTCCAGAGTTATTTCTTACTTCCAACCATGATCAGTTGGACATTGAAATTTTACCAGTCTTCTTTCGCAATATTCCTTTTGAGTTACCCAAATTTGCTATCTTACAGTATACTTATAGTAATGGCATCACCATTCCTCAGTCACAATTCCTTATCCTTTTTGTTTTGAGACAGGGTCTCATTCTGTCTTCCAGGCTGGAATGCACTGGCACAATCATAGCTCACCGTAGCCTTCAACTCCCAGGCTCAAGCAATACGCCTACCTCAGCCTCCTGAATAGCTGGGACTACAGGGGTTGGCCACCACACTCAGCTAGTTTTTTTTTTTTTTTTCTTTCTTTTTTCTTTTTTTTAGTAGAGGTGAGGTCTCTCTGTGTGCTGGCTTCAGCATCCCGAAGTGCTGCGATTACAGACGTGAGCTGCCACTCCTGGCCCCTTTATTTGTGTGTTAAGCTGAGTCTTTCTTCTTTCTTTATAAATGCATCATAATCCATCTGCTGAAATTTAGGAAGCATTCTATCTTAATCAGTAACATACACATTATTGCTTATGAAAATTGGATAGATCACTAATGGTCTCCATTTTATATGGATTTTTATTAACCTGTTGGTTTCACAGAGTGACATTCTCTGGCTTCAAACTCTATCCAAAAGAATATCATAGACTGTTTTAGGAAGCTGCAGAATCCAAATCTAAAAGCGTATTTTAAGACATGAGTTTTTTTTATGTATTTCCAAGTGGTGAATTAATTGTACACCTTATTTTTAACATTTCCTTGTTCAAACTTGATTGAGAGAAGAGGTTTCTGAGTAAAAGGAGAAGGAGAAAAAAAAGCAATAGAAGTCAGAATGGATAAGGACCATCATTTGCTGATAAATTACTGTCGTCTGTCTTTGACAGGTGAAAGAAGTAGCAGCCTAAATGTTAAATCCGAAATACAAGCTGCTCAATAAGGATTTTACTGAAATCGAGTTTTATTTTAGCTGTTTCTATGTAAAACTAAAACATGGCTATTTGAATCCCATTAAAGTCTCACTAATTCTTGGAATTGTGTGCTTATGGCATCTGAGTAGTTGCCATTCTCTTGAATTATCTTGACCACACAGTGCTTCACCAAGTCTCTTCACAGTAGCTTGAGGGTACTTGATGTCTTAAATAATGACTAATCACAGTTATCTGTAATGAAGCTAGAAATATAATCCACAAACTAGTTCTTATGTAGCATTTTCTGCTTTGCATATGTTTTGGGACATTTATATTTGTGCATCTTGTGGTCTAAAATTTTATTTTCTTATAGAAGGATCATATCCCGGCACTCTTGGGAATGGCAACGGCTTATATGATCTTGAAACAGACTCCACGAGCCAGAAACCAGCTGAAGCGTATTGCAAAAATGAATTGGAATGCTATTGATGCCGAAGAGTTTGAAAAGAGTTGGCTGCTACTTGCTGATATTTACATTCAATCAGCAAAATACGATATGGCAGAAGAACTATTAAAACGGTGCCTGCGTCATAATAGAGTAGGTGACTGAGGAGTAAAAAATTATTTTTAACTTTTGCTGCATAAGCTTTCCATAATAGATATTGTTGAGTGTTAGTCCATTTCCAAGGATTCCTGTGTGATTTTTGAAAACTAAATGTTTATTCTTACCACAATCAGGAAACAAACATTAATAATAAGAAAGAAGCCATTTGCCCTTTAAAGTTTTTTTAAAAAAAAGATTTCTGCAATTTCAAGTTTCAGCTGTATTAATGCCCTACTTAATAGGGAAGTGTTTTTGGAATGTCAAATGTTTGCCTGTGATTATCCATCTCAACCCAGAACTAATGAAAATTGCAGAAGAACATTAATTGCGGACGTCTGTCCCTCCTATTAAGAAATACTCTTGATGAGTTTACTGCAGCTGCATGTCATTTTCACATTATTAGAATCCATTATGCATAATATATTTTGTGGGAAAAAGTCTTTTCAGCTTTTAATTTGATTTGTTTAATAAAAATTCCTTTAGGTATAAAATTGAATATTATAAACTCCTTATAATTTAAGGCTTTTTACTAACATTTCATGTTTAATTAAAAAATATGTCATTATAACAGTTTTTTAAAGTTAAGATTTATTTTTTTGTTGAGAAATAATTGCACACAACTTAGAAATGATATTTATCTTCATATATTCATATACTTAAATCTTAATCACAGTAAATCTGTTTTAGCAAATTACATTACAAATGGACCATTTGTTTTTTAAAGAAGAGTTGTGATTATCTAGTGCTATTAAGATGCTTTCCTAGAAACTTAAAAACCTGAAAGATCCAAGCATTTATCAATTTATAAACTATTCTAGATGATTAGTTACATAAATTTTAAGTTAAATTGGTCTTGAAAAACAGGATGCTCATTAATAGGCTTTGAAAATCTAAATTGCTGAGTAGTTTACCCTTCTATGCCTAGTCTAGGATTAACCAAGATTGCATGAAAATTAAAGTGTCAGGGCACACAGAATTTTAGTTTGCCAGAACGCTGATAACAATATGTTGCATGGTTGAACATGATGGCTGCTTTAGAGGCTTCATTCAGCCCTACTGGTTGAATATGTTGATTTTGAAAGCATGACATTTAAGAACTAAAGCTTAGAAACCTTGAATTACATAATTTAAAAAGTGGAAGTCATCCAAATCTGGGGCAGGAAATGTACAAGATGACACTAGACTGTCTTGCCTTACCAGGTGATTGAGGAAGCTATCCATGATGATTAGAGTTTGTGTCAAAGACCTAGGGACCAACTTGAAGACGCCACCAATAGTATGCTTTAAGTATTGATAAGAATAACTGCACTGTATTGAAACACATAAAATCTGTTTAAATCCGTGACTTCTCAAAGATCCAAAATAGAAAAAAAAACAAAAACAAAAACAAAAAAAATCTAACTGGTGTCTACTGCAGTACGCTAGTGAGCTGACTGCTATTTCTGAAGCTTGCAAATAAATAGTCAATGAGATGTTTCTCATCATAGACATTTTCCAGCTAGTAAATGAAGAACACTGATAGGCTATCCCCATTCTTCAACCCTGATAAATTTAAATATGATGTAACATCACAAAAAGAGGGAGAATCAGACATTCTGTGCCTCCCAATAGAAGAACATACATCTATGGCAGGGCTAACGTTGGGGTAATTCAAGTGAAACACTCAGTAATCAAGATAAATAATAATTTAATGCAATTGTGCTGAGCTGTATTGGAGACTGAATCAAAGGGGAATATGTGCATTCCTATATTGATGTTTTTATATATTTTTTAAATGGGTAATGGATAATGGTTTTAATGAAAATATTGCTGGGGAGATTTTTCCCATTAAAATGAGAAGAGTGAAATGGTAAGAAACCAAGTTTAGGTATAAATAAAATATTCAATCTTAATGTAGTGATTTTTAATATATACTTTCAGATTATTCAATATTTTTAAACTCATGTTTTGGAAAAAATTACAATTAAACTACTCAGGAGGCAGAGACAGGAGAATCACTGGAACCCGGGAGGCAGAGGTTGCAGTGAGCCGAGGCACTGCACTCCAGCCTGGGCAACATAGGAGACTCCATCTTTAAAAAAAAAAAAAAAAAAAAAAAAAAAAAAAAAAAAAGATACTGTTTCTTCTGTAGCTTCCTTTATTTTTCCTTCCGTTTTTCTTAGTATCTAAGAAATACATTATTTGACCAAGAATCTTGTGTCTCCTCTCCCCTTTCCCATCCTATCCTGACATTCATGAGAACTTCTCCCTGTTCCACCCTTAAAACGCTGAGCTTTCAGGACCCCGCCTGGCTTGCCATTGTGAAATGGCCTCGCTGTCTGGGGTAAATACCAAGGTTCTTGGTCTCACAGCCAAGGAAATCAAGGATGTGGACACACACAGGGTGGGATTGGGGCAGGAGTTTAAAAGGAAAGAACAGCTCTGTTACAGAGAGGGGGCCCAAATGGGTTATCAAGTTGTAGTAGAAGTGTCAGGTTTTATGGATGGGTTATTGGGGTGAGGGGGTCATGTCTTCTGAGGGCTTGAGGAACCAGTTAGGATCAGGTGTGCGATCTGCATAGAGCAGAGTCTCTAGCAGCCCCAACACCATTCTGTTTTTTTTGTTTGTTTGTTTGGAGTCTGGCTCTGTTGCCCAGACTGGAATGCAGTGATACGATCTTGGTTCACTGCAACCTCTACGTTAAAAAAAAAAAAAAAAAAAAGAAATACACAAAAATATGCATCCATGTTTTTATGCCTCAGGCTCCAGCATGGCTTATCATGGTACTGATGTATGAAATAGATTCACCTCTCTCCTCCAGAACTAAAATTGAATCCAAACCTCTAAATCTAATTACAAGTTCCAGAAAATGTCAGTGACATTGACATGGGAATTTATTCTATAAACACCACAAAGATGCAGTTAACTAAACCCTGAGTGGTAAGAAACTCTGGGATAAATATTCTTGTTTCTATTATATTTGATTTCAAGAAAAGAGACCCAGAGAGACAGACAGACAGGCAGAAGGAAAACCTCTGGATTAAAAGAGTCTAGATCAAAACGTTGACCAGTTACAATGTTTGGTCCTTATTTCAATCCTCAATCTAACAAAAAGAAATTATATTGAGATAATTAAAATTTGAACAGTACTGGATATTTGGTGCTATTAAGTCGTTAACATTTAGATATGATAATATTGTGGTTGTGTTTAAATAAAATATTTATCTTTTAGAGGTGCGCACTAACACATTTAGAATTGATATAATATCTGAGGATTTTTTCTGGTAACACAAAGACAGGTTTGTGAGATAGAGGTGAAACAGTATTAGTCATGAGATAATTGTTGAAGATAAGGGTTTGTGGAGTTCGTTATGTTCTTATCTCTATGTGTTGAAATTATTCATAATAAATCGTGTACATGTGCTTGTGTACAATACAAATATCGTGTTGTGTATTTCTGATTCTGTAAAGAAAACCCTGATACTGCAGATTTGTGATGGAGACTTGGCATCAGAATCATTTATTAAGTTCAGTAAAAAATGTGATTGCCTAGCCAGAGTTGAAAATCATTGTTTGATGTGTCATTTAAGTAGGTTAATATGATTGACCTTTAGAGTCACAAACATCCCATACAATCTTAGTAATATCAAGTTTAATCTATTGATGTCTCCTGTTTTTCTTTAGTCTTGCTGCAAAGCTTATGAATATATGGGATACATTATGGAAAAAGAGCAAGCATATACAGATGCTGCCTTAAACTATGAGATGGCGTGGAAATATAGCAATCAGACAAATCCGGCAGTAGGTGAGTTTAGCAATCACCTAGATTTTTCACAGAAAAATTATGTTTTATTTATTTTTATTTAAATACATTTGATTTTTTTCAAAACAAAATAAACGTTGAGTCAGTTTTAGTTGTCAACCTTTCTGAAAGGAGAATAAATTTTATATTCATTATATATTATTAGCTACTAATAGTTAAGTACAATTTCCTGAGTTCCAAACGTGTCCTCAGTCATCTTAGCGTACATCTAGTCTAATTCTGTCCCCTTTTCTTCCTTCACCCTCTGCTATTTTGAAATTGGGGATGCCGTGGAAAAAGATGTTTCCATTGCCAAGTAAGTTAGGAAAACATTGCATTAAATTGAATTGCACACATTTCTTTACTTCTCAAAGCCTTTAAACACAAATGTATATTGCGATGGATATCACAGAGGGGCCCTGTTTCCCACAATTATTTGACCATGGGTGATTTCTTGTCCCATGAGCATCTAGAAACGTCATCCAGTCCCAGTGTTTTGCAGGCTGTTAGTTTCAGGAATGCTAGTCTACAGTGTCCCTAACAGAGGTGCCATCAGAATATACTTCATGACCAACCTCTCCCCTCATGTGAGGGAGCTCGTCCTCATGTTTGTGTTCTTTTTCTTTGTATTGGGTTGAAATGTGCCTCCTTGAAACTGCCCAAGTCTGTTCTCTGGAGCAACCTACAGAATGTCTCTCTCTTACAGATCATGACCCTTTAAATTGCAGACATCTGTCATGTGTCCTAAGGCTATCTATTCAAGCCATCTGCAGTTACTTGTCCCTTCTTCCTAGGATTGCATTCCGAGTCTCTCACCTTTCATGTTGATGTCTCTTGGAAGCTCCAAAGTAGTGTTTCCCAAACTGTGCTTTGGAACACTTAAAAATTATTATTATTTAATAATAATTTTTTTTTAATTAAAAAGAATGGAGTATGAAGGTGGTAGATGTCATGGCCATGTAAGTTAGGAAAATGCTGTTTTGTTTTTCCATGTCCCTCTGACCTGTTGTACCATAAATGAACAAGCTCTCAAATATGATTTGCCCAGTTGTAAGTATAATTAAGCTATTTTTTTTTCTTTTTTTGACTAGGCATTTTGGAGTTGCTAATTCAGCTTAAGATGACATCTATCTTTTCAGCAGGCATGTCACAGTGTGAATTCCATTTTAATTTGCAGTCAAATGGGTCACCCTTACACTGACTGCTGTTAGCTCAGGTCTTCTCTCACTGTTTGGTTTCCTGGAGTCTGTTCTTATACTATACTAGACTTGTACAAAGCACACGAACTAATGATTTTTATAGTATTTTTTATTCAAAAGTATGATAGATCTTTCAGAAGAAAGTCACCTTGTAAAATGAAAAATCCTTAAGTGTCCTTAAAATATTAATTTTGACACTGTATTCCCTGGAAGGAATACACATAGAAGTTAACTTATTTATATATTCCATTCCTTGGAAGACCTCGGCAAATAAAGGAATTCCAAATCACCAGTTCTTTCATTGTGTCGTTGTGCTTTGTAGATTATTTTATCAGTTCCTCAAACTTTGCTTTGGTAAACATTTCTTTCTGAGGCTCTCCATTAATTCCTTAATTTTATCCTCAAGATTATCATTGCATCAACACCCCCAACCTGCCTGGCCAAATAAACAATGCATTTCACTTTTTCAGTTGTCAGAAAACCCTTAAAATCATGCTCATGCTCTTTCCATAGCATTCTGGCCATAGCTCTGAGCACGTGTGCCTTTGTGCGTGTGTGTGTGTAGAGATATACATATATCGACATACAAATATAATACAGTCATGTGTCACTTAACAATGGAAATATTCTGACATATGTGTAGACGATTTCATCGTTGTGCAAACATCCTAGAGTATACTTACACAAACCTAGATAAAGTCTACTACACATTTAGGCTATATGGTATATAGCCTATTGCTCCTAGGCCACACACCTGTACAACATGTTACTGTCCTGAATGCTATATGCAATGTGTGTATGTAAACAGAGAAAAGATAAAATACAGTATTATAAAAATACGAAACACAGTATTACAGTCTCATAGGACCACCATCATGTATGTGATCTGTTAATGAAACATCATCATGTGGTACCTGACTAAATATAAAATATTGTGAGTTTTAGGTCATTTCTATTTATTTCTTTTTACTAGCATCTGATAATGTTAGCCAATAATTCTTTTCAGACACTTAAAATTTTAAACATTTGTTTTGGTACTTTTATTGGAGCCTAAGAGCACTATTGACATTTCATATTTTTAAGAGGTAGAGTGAAATATTTGTTATTACATATTCTTTTACCTTGCATTATAATATCTTGTTTACTGAGTGCACAGCTGCTATTACTTGTCTTCTCTTCTTAGTTTTCTCATTTTTATAGCGTGTTGCAGGAGAACAACATCCATTAAAAGGAATGTCTTTTAAACATTCTTCTAATTGTTGATCGTGGAAGTGCAGCCTTTCACTATCAGTAACTGTGATCATTCTTACCAGTCATTGGTGACTGATCTGCCTTCCTCTGTGTCGCTGTCCTACTTGTTCTGTCTTCTCGCCGTACTCCAAGTTCACCAGCTCCCTATGCGTCCTACCACTGGCCTTAATCCATGCGGTTGCCTGTATCTGACAGTGTCCTTGATTCCTACCCTCGCCTAGTTTATGCTTCATTCTTCAGATTTCAGACATCTCTTGACACCCTCTTCTTCCCCAGTCAGGTTCTTTATGGTGACTCACTTGGCCTGGATCTTTCATAACATCTATAAAATTGTATTAGTTTTGAAAATATTCATTTACTCATGCAATTATTTTAAAATGTACTTTTTCTCCTGATAGAATGCAAACCTCATAACTATAGGCATCAGTTTGCCTGTGTGAGTGCTATAACGAATGGCTGTGTTGTCATTTACTGCCATGTGATGAGTTTTTACTATAATCTGAAATAAATGAGACTTTTCTAGTAAGTTATAGAAACCACACTTGTGGGATGGCAGCTTTCTAACCGATCAGTATATTCACAGTGATCCTTTATCCCAACTCCACTTTCTTTTCTTCTCATACTACTTTTATGTCACTCTGCCCACTATTATCATGCAACTTCTCTGTATAGCGTAGTTCAGCTGTTCATTCACCAGCCCCCCTTACAAATGCTTTAGTGGGTAAGCAAAGAGAGGAGGAGCCAAGGAAAAGTAATAGCAGTGTACTGCATCATTCTGTTTTATGGTTTTTGTCTTAACAGGATACAAACTGGCATTTAATTACTTAAAAGCAAAAAGATATGTGGATTCGATTGATGTATGTCACCAGGTAAACACTTAAATTTAGATTTCTTAAAAATTTTTCAGATGCACCATTTCTTCCTTTTTTAAATCTCCAGATGTATTAGTTAAATGATTTATCAGCTATGTTCAGGGAGATTATCAGTGTTCAAAATTTAGAAAATAATGTTCACCTAAATAAAAAAACATGCTTTTACTTGGAGATCAAATAATAAAATATTTATGTCAATTTAAAGACAAAGACTACTGAGGGGTATCTATAAACAGTAAACCATAGAATATTTACATTTATGGAAGGGAGTAGGATTAAAGTGGTGGAATAAAAGAGACTTTTACTAAAAAATAAAAATAAAAAGACAAAGACCAGAAGGAGAAACATGTTAAATAAAATTTAGTCTTCAAGTTAGAAGCTATTTGAAGACAGTATAGATTCTCCAGATCATTGTTCTGAATAGAAGTTGTTGTGAATGTGTCTGAATCTGGTTACTAGAGAATTCAGATTGACCAACTAAAGATAGAAATGAATTCTATTAGAAGTCATTCAATTACATTCTGTAATTCATCCCCTACTAAAATGACAAATATTTAAATTATGGTTTTAGAATTTGCAGAGTATCTTCATGTATACATCATCCCATTGATATTCCATATAAGGCATTCTATTAAACATTGTAAGGAGCTCCAAGAAAAGTTCCTTAGAAAAGAATTTTGTAATGCCCCCTTTCTCACACAGCAATCTGTCAGCATCATTACCGTAAATACTTGACCTTAGGAATTGCTGTTGATTACTGAGTCTCTGTAAAGGAGTATTTCTGTCAGGTTAGAATTGTATGTTAATGTAAGGTCATAGGTAGGATCATTTTTGGAGTTACTAAAAAAAAAAAAAACCTAGTATCTCCCCACTATTAGTAGACCTGGAAATATGTTTGTCTCAAGATTATTTCAGGTAAAGCTGATGTGTACAGCTGTATAAAAATCGCTCTCTAAGCATTTATCAAATATTATGAATAAAAAACTAAATTACAAAAAATATTTTAAATCATTGATATTTGTTTTATACAACTCGTCTATTTAGTAAACAATTGTTATATTTTCTACATCCGATATTCACACATAAATATAAAGGAGTCATCATGTTACATTTAAAATGCTACCATTAAATAACTGTTGTATTAGTATTAGGAAATCTTAACTGTAATGCACATTTCTAGTAAGTTTTGTAGCTCCGTAGTTCTTGATAATTAGTTACAAGTTTCTGTGGGTTCTTTATTTGTTTTGCAGGTTCTTGAAGCACATCCAACTTATCCAAAAATCAGAAAGGATATACTTGATAAGGCCCGTGCCTCTTTAAGACCTTGAAAATAATTTTAACGTAGGTTGTTGGTTTAACAGGAAATAAAAGAAATCTTTCAGTTCTTCCTGTTCAAACAGATTTGAGCTCAATGCTTTGTTGTTAGAGGTATACCCTTTTTCTCCAGCAGAGGTTGCTGCTGTACATCAAGAGAAGTACTCAGTGAAATTGGTGTTTTCTAATGGAGTTGAATGAGAGCTGGTCTGTTTGACTCTGATTAGGTACAGATTTGGTGACTCTGTGATAAAGACTATAACCATTTATATAAACAATATTTTGTTTAAATCTGAGTGATTAAATACCCTCTGTCTTTTCTAAGGAATATTTATTTCAGGAAATATATTTAAAATGCATTGTTCTCTGTTAAAAGTGTTTTTGTCTTATTCTGTTTTGTTTCAAAGGTTTGAATAAATCTCCCATCAATAACTCATGAAAAAGATGATATATATACATATTATATATATGCATATAATATGTATATATATAGTATGTATGTAAAACATTTTAATAAAGGTTTTATAAATATATGGTTTATATTCCTCTTGAAACTCAAAAGACGTGGTAAGTTTTGCAAAATCAGGGTAAACTCCCTCTGCAGTCTAATGTTAATGGGTGGTACTATGTTGCAGAAAATGTAACTTTCATTTAAAAAATCTTTTTTGGAAAAGCACAAAGAGCATGAGTTTCCCTTTCCTTTCTTGAGCTCATTCTTCCTACTTTCAAGGCCAATGTTGTCTTCAGAAATAATCAGGATCTTAAATCAGTTTAAATAGTTCCCTTATAAGGATATTTAACCTTAGCGTAGAAGACTCGATCTTCAGGTGCAATTTCAGACACTGTAATATTTGGCGGTAAAGGGGTGACCAAATACTTTTGGTCAGCAGGGAGTCACAAAGCACACCACGTGAAGGCAACGGTTTTCCCAGCTGTGTCTAACAGAACCCTGGCATAGAAGCTTTCACTCTTTTACACTAAATTTAACCTAATCTAAACTTAATCCTTAGCATTATTTTTAATTTCTCATCTATATCTTTTTCAGTTATCCTTAAAAATACAGTAAACATAGTCCTTAATTTTATTTGCATTTACAATAAGCAGTATTTATAAGTCATTTGCTGCTTTTTAGGAAATGTCCTATGTTTGTTTTGAACTGCAATGTCGTTTCTGATCATTTCTCCAATTATTCAAAATCCTTTTCATTTCATTTGTTATAAAATTCCAATTATTCCTCTTTTCACTTAGCAAAATGGTTTTGAGTTTGTTCTTGTTTTTGAGACAGTGTCTAACTCTGTCACCCAGACTGGAGTGCAGTGGTGCGATCTCAGCCCACTGCAACCTCCAACTCCCAGGTTCAAGCAATTCTCCTGCTGCAGCTTCCCAAGTATCTGGGACTACAGGTGCATTCTACCACCCCTGGCTAATTTTGGTATTTTTAGTAGAGATGGGGTTTTACCATGTTGGCCATAGTGGTCTTGAACTCCTGGCCTCACGTGATCTGTCCACCTTGTCCACCTTACTTTTATTTATGGCATTTCATAGAAATGTTTAATAATAAGAGTTTTGTATGTTTTAAATGTTTTATAATTATAAAGCACTTCATACATATTCAAAAACTTTTACATTTCTTACATTTGATCTTCACAAACCCCCATCGTAGTAAGGAAGCAGTTCTAAGTTTAGTGTACTTGTGACCTTAATTTAGCTATTATGGTGAACTGAGTCCCAGGAGGAAATAGCTTATTTCCCCAGAAGTCAAGAACCTAGAGCAAATCTGGAAGGCTTTTATGCATGGACAGCCTGTTTTCCAAATCTGAAATCATGAAACATTCCCTCTTTTAAAAAAAAAAAAAAAAAAAATCTGGGGAGAAATATCTTTCAGCCTGAATGGACATTGTTAAGGACAATGCTATGGACTGAATATTTGTGTCCCCCTAAACTTCATATGTTGACATCCTAATCTCTAATGTGATAATTAGAGGTGAAGCTTTGGGAAATAATTAGGTCAGAAGGCTGAATCCCTCATGAGTGGGATTAGTGCCCTTATAAAGGGGCCCCCATCAAGTTCTCTAGCTATCTTTCTACCATGTGAGGACACACTAAGAAGTCAACTATTTGCAACCCAGAAGAGAGTCCTCACAAGAACCTGGTGGTGCTAAACCACGATCTCAGACCTCCAGCCTCTGGAACTGTGAAAAATATATTTGTCTTGTTAATAAGCCCACTAGTTTATGATATTTTATTATCGCAGCCGGAGCTGACTAAGGCAGAAATCACATAACAGAATGCCTTTAGTGGTTCCAATGAACTTGCATCATGGAATGCTAGAATCATGGAAATTGGATAGAGAAATAGAGCATCTGTTCTCTCAGCAAGACATTTCCAAATCAGTTTTCCTATCTGTAAGAGGAGAGGAAAGTTTTGGTTTTGCTTCTTAAGCAGCCATTTATTTTGCACCTGTCATTTGTTAGATGCTATTTTAGGGACTTTCCCTACTTTATGTCTTTTAATTCTCAGCTATAAAGAGAAGTACATTTTCAGATGAGAAAGATAAAACCTGCACTAAATAATTTGCCCAGAGTCACAGAGAAAAGTGGTTAGAACCTGAATTCCATACTGGCCCAGTCAACTTCAAAGCCTCTGCCTTATTTCTTAAGAGCCTTCTCTATAACTAAGAGATGTTTCTATAGGCAAAAGTTATGTCTACATCTGGCTAGCAGAAGAAATTGATTAGTGTATCACAGAGATGGCTAAGTAATGAAGAACAAGATGAACTGAGTGGAATAAACAGCTGTTAGAAATGTAGAAACTGTCAAAGAGCAGGCTAATTGAGGAGCAGTATATTGTAGCAGTCAAGAGCATGAATCTGAAATCAGACTAGCCTGGATTAAGCTTTGGCTCTACCATCACCTAGATCTTTCATCTTTCTCCAAGTTACACACTCCCTGAGCCTCAGTTTTCTCACCCATAAACAAGCATATAAGAATAATAACTTGCCTCAGGTTGTAAGGATTAAAGGGAACATATATAAAACCTATAATGAATCTGACTCACTAGGCTCTTAATAGTAGCTTCACTTATAAGCAGACCAACGCCAAGTAGTAATTGCAAGTGAAAAGAGAAAATGCAGTTCAAAGTGAGATGAAAAGGAGTAAATTTCCCTAGAGAGCTCAGCCCTATAGGATTCAAGATTCTCATTTGTTCATACCTTCCCCTCTCATTTTTCTTCTTCAACTACCTTATTCCCTCTTTTCTTCTCTCTCCACCCATCACATATGATAGACTCTACATGCAGCATCTCATTTTATCCATCTTGAGCTTGCTTTTTCCCCACTCTCCTCGGTGTGGAATTCTCTCCCTCATCCCTCCCTTCACCCTCTGCTTCCTGTCCCTGAGCTTTCTTTTCCAGGTTTGCTCTTTCTTTTTATCAGATACACTTTGTCATACCTCCTTAAAGAGGCCATGTTCATGTCCAGGCCCACAATCTTCAAGCAGCCGTCCTGTGTTTCTGTATCGTATTATCCTTTTAAAAATATATACAGGAATTAAAAGCTCTGATGTTTTTCGTCTTTCCTAAGGATGTAATTGCCTTGTGGCAAGCCCAAGATCTGTGATCCTTGGAGCTCAGAGTAGTCAGTCTTGAGGCCCACAATCTTCAAGCAGCCGTCCTGTGTTTCTGTATCGTATTATCCTTTTAAAAATATGTACAGGAATTAAAAGCTCTGATGTTTTTCGTCTTTCCTAAGGATGTAATTGCCTTGTGGCAAGCCCAAGATCTGTGATCCTTGGAGCTCAGAGTAGTCAGTCTTGATTCAGGACTGCTCTGAATTGGTACTGAAGGAACTAATGCTCATAACATGCTAAATGGAGGTTTGAGGCCTAACACTTAGGATGGAGGCGGGGGGACACAGCAGAAATGAAAGAATTTTCTGTAGATCTGGGATCTGGACACCGGCTCCCATCGTAGTTAGGAAGCAGTTCTAAGTTTAGTGTACTTGTGACCTTAATTCAGCTAGTATGGTGAAGTGAGTCCCAAGAGGAAATAGCTTTTTTCCCCAGAAGTCAAGAACCTAGAGCAAATCTGGAAGGCTTTTATGCATGGACAGCTGAGGAAGTAGGTTGAACTTTGCACTAGGGTAAAAGTAGAAAATGGAATCGCTATGGAAACCGAAAGACCGATTAAGAATCTGACAGGGGCTATCCTAGTTTGGGACTGGAGATGACAAGTGAATAGTGTTAAAATAGGATCATGTAACAGCATTCATGCCAGTCGATTTTTTTAAATGCAAGATTGGCAAAGGTGCAAGGAAACCACCGCATTTGGACACTGCTTGTTGAAGTGTAGCCCTGCCTTCCTAAGGAAAATTTGGCAGCACAAATAAGAGTCCAAGTGATCCCACATAGAGAAATGTATCACAGGAAATATTCCAAAAATTTCTCAAAGGCTTCCAATTTAAAAAATTGTAACTGAATTTTTTGCTGCTTTTGGTTGTTATCACAACATTCAACATGAAGTTGTCAAAATGTAAAATTTGACCAATAATAGAGCACTAGGTAGTCATTAAAAATTATTTCAAGGATTTTTTTACATATTTAAATTTTTTGAAAGATTTTAACTGCTAAAATGCTCACAAAATAAGTGAAAAACCAGGAAAATATAACTGTTCAAATATCCATTTGCCAAAAATATAGATGCATATCATATAAATATACACACACAAAACTAGGTGAAAGTAACCCAATTATTAACATAGTTGTATCTGAGTGATGAAATAGAATATTTAACATTGTAAAAGTTAACTGGAATCAACATGTATTCTACACTTAAAGAGTTTTTTGTTGTTTTGTAGAGAATAGCTTCTCAAACTTGCTTTTTGCTGTTTAAAGCTATTTTGCTGAACACAGATGAAGAGGAAAAGCTAAGCAAAAGCTGACATTTCAACTCTCAGTACCACAGTTTACTATTAATTGTTAATGCAAAATGTAATCTATATTACTTCAATGGCCAGCGATAGAGATTCAGGAAGTGGAAGACAGAAACAAAGACTGCCAGAAAGTAGTAACAGGAGTGGTAACAGCAGTGATACTAGAACCTAAGAGTTCTAGAGGGGATGTGTAAGAGCACAGTCCAGCAATTACATAGAGAATTGATAGCAAACCCAGTCCTCTGTAATTTTAGTCCATTATTCCAGTAACAGAGTTTTAGTGATGATGCTATCAAATATAATAAATTAGAAGCCAGTGGAAATAACTGAAATCCTGCAGAGCCTCCACATGTGATCATGCAGTGTGTGCACTGTGCAGGGTGACCCAGCCAAGGGTACAGGAGATGGAGGCAGAAATCCAACTCTTACCACTCTGCAATTGCATCC